TCAACTTTTCCAATTTGATGGTCAACTTTACGAACAGTGTGAAGGAGTCGCTATGGGGTCCCCCCTTGGTCCTTTGTTGGCGAACGTGTTTATGTGCCATCTGGAAGAAAGACTATCTGACGATGATTTAATTCCTTCTTATTACAAGCGTTATGTCGACGATACGCTTGCAATAATGCCTGGACTCGATGCAGCTGAAAGTTTTCTCAATGTACTCAATGGACTCCACCCTAGTATTCATTTCACTATGGAGCTTTCCAACAACGATTCAATTCCTGTTATTGGAACGTTGATAACAAAGAACGGCAACAAGCTGGAGACTCAGGTCTATCGTAAACCTACGAACACGGGCCTTTTACTTCATTTTCAAAGTCACACCGATTTGCGCTACAAGAAGTGTCTTATCAAAACAATGGTTCATCGTGCAAAGGAATTGTCCTCTACACATCAAGCATTCGTCGATGAGTGTAGACATCTAAAATCTATGTTTCATCGCCTTAGCTACCCTAGTTCTTTGGTGAACTGTATTATCGACAAATGTGATTATTCCTCTACACCAGATACTAAAACAAAATCTGATGAAACTTTAAGAGTCAGTATTCCTTTCAAAGATCAAGTCTCAGCGAACATTGCCAAAAGACAAATGCGCGATCTCAGTTCAAAAATCGGCATTGATGTACAACCAGTCTACACCAGTAAGAAACTTGAGCAGGACCTAAAGCTTAAAGAAATCAAGCCACGCATCGTAAATCAGCATAGCGTTGTTTACTGTTTTAAATGTGATTTGTGTGATTCAAATTACGTCGGATATACGACGCGCCATTTGTTTCAACGCATTGCTGATCATCGATACTCTGCCATTGGTCGCCACCTGAGAGATGCCCATGGGAACATTGACTTACTCAATGAGAGCCAGTTTAGAATGCTTAAAAAATGTGGCACGAAATGGGATTGTCTTGTTTATGAAATGTTGTACATAAGAACAATAAGGCCCAATTTAAACACCCAGAGCGATTCCATTAGGGCCAAACTCTTTGTTTAACTTTTAACGCTTTGTAATTTATTCACCGCTTCATTATATATATACTCGATTTTATTATTCTAGTTCACTTGATAATGACGTTCTGGAAACGTCGAAACGTCGTGTCATGCTTTATAATATTTTATCGCAGATTTTTATTGTCATTAACTGAGTTGATAACGTAAATGACAACCGTGAAGAGTTTTGAAGCTTAGGTTTCGAGCGTTAGCCCTTCGGTCTCCGCTCCGACGAAGAGCTAACCCTTGAAACTTCAGCTTCAAACCTCGTTACGTTGGCCAGTTACATTATCAAGTCAGTTGATCATAATTATACTAAATAAGTCTGTTATAGTCTCCCACCGAAGGAGCACCACAGTTTCTTTAGAAACTTACCCCCTTGTCCTAAAAAGAGTTTGATTTGAATTTCAGATGAGCCCGAAGTTGCAATTGATGGTAACCAAAAGCAGTTTATAGCTGAAGGCGAGAACTTCACGTTGATCTGTCGGTATAACGCTTCACCGCCTGTGTCTGAGGTGCAGTGGATAAAGGATGGAAATGTGATTACCATAAATGCCACTGTGACCAACAATGGATCAAGAGTGACTAACATCTTTTATAATGAAAGTCTATCGCAGCTTTCAACCGCCTCAGCTTCTTCACAGGATTCTGGAAATTACAGCTGCAATGTTACAAATGATGTATATGGTACAACAGATTCGACTTTGATTGTTATTCAAGGTATGCATACGATGTCCATTACTTCCTGTACAACATATCCGCGGCATTATTTCTCTCAATGTTCCTGGTTAAATTTTTTTGTTAGTTTAACATCTTCTCCTGTGGAAGAAAAAGCCAACCCAGCAGTTCTGTGTAAACATAATTACACGAATTTATTTTTGCAACAAAACAATTCTCTCGTCAAAATGAACATCACATTTATTTGATCAGTAAAACAAAATTTGCCTTGATTTACGCGTTCAAAAAATAATTTAATTCCTTATCTCAATTTCTAGACAAAAACCATTCCTTCCTCATAGACTCACAAAAAATAAAAAAACAAATTAAAAAAATATAAAAAAAGATGTCAATCATACGAAAGTTTAACTTACTACACTTTAAAAAGCCTCGAAAGAAGACGTAAAAGTAAAATTGTACAATACCTTGGTATACCTAATAACTGACTAAAGTATTTCTGTTCTCTCACAGAGAAGCCCTCCACCAAATTGCAGCCAGAAACTCTTACTGTCAAGGAGGGAGAAAATGTCACGTTATTTTGTAACTCTTCTGGAAGCTCTCTAACAATAACGTGGAAATTCAACGGAGCTGATGTAACCACCTCAGGGGATTCAAGGATTAGTTTTTCAGATGGCAATCGACATTTGATTATAACGAACGTGAGCAGGGTAAACAAAGGGGAATACAAATGTGTGGGGAGCAACGAGGTTGGAAACGATACGTCTAATACTACCTTTCTGCTGGTTGAATGTAAGTACAGAGCAAACGTGACAGGCCGTTTTAACTTGTTAGCAGTCTTGAAGTTTCTTTTTTCTTGCTTGGCTTGAGATGATAGTAAAATCATAGCATTCTTAAGTTAACATTATTATACTATTAAATAACCAAGCTTCACCGAAGTGGAGGTGGCTAGTGGCGGATATTCAGAGGCTTAATAGCCCATCAGGGCGGGCCTTCAACGCTATTTACTGCTTTAGTATTACACTGATGTAGATTATTGATATTGACAATTTTGTTTTGTTGTTTGTTTATTCAATTCCTTTTAACGTTTGCTGTTTTTTTACAGTTATCAAACGGAGTAACTTTCATTTAAATCAGTGTTGCAGTGTAGTAGTGTTTCAGCAAAAATTGCCGAAACGGCAATTTTTGCTGTATTTTGTGAAATACGTATGGTTTTGCAGTGACTCAGTTTTTCAATTTTTTATCTTCACATTACTAGTTGGACCTGAAATCTCCAAACCTCCAACTAATCGCACAAAAGAGGAAAAACAAACCGTTGATTTCAGTTGCGTAGTCGCAGGATACCCTACACCTGACGTTGCGTGGACAAAAAATGGACTGGAATTGAATGTGACAGGAGATGTGCGACTTAGTGTATCTTCCAATGATGGAGACCACCAATTGAACATATCAAATGTTCAACAATCAGATGCAGGGCAGTACAGATGTGTAGCCAATAACAGTCTGGATACCGCGACTTCATCTTCAGCGACCCTAACAGTACGATGTGAGTGCCAAAGTAATGTATATTTGTATATTAGCAACGTTCTAGTATTGATCACTTTTTTATTCGAGTTTCCTCCAGCGTTGACCACAAATTCTATAGATCATTATTATTGACAAAACCTCTCTTTTCGGTTGATGTTCTTCTCGTACTGAAAATGGCAAAAGACCAAGTTGAATTAATGCGAAGCCAATGATGTTATAAGTTCCTCAATGGATTAAATACATGTGTCAGAGACTGCAAGGACCTGCGTCCAAATTGTTGTCGACATCTCAGCTTCTCCCTCTCAAATCTTCGATTGTGGTTTTTGATTAAAGGGTCCTGGGTAAGTTTTCGTTTTACAATAATTGTTCTCCGCTAACTTTAATATGATATTATCAATGAAGAGCGGTTTCTATGTCGTATCACTGAATTTTAGTTGCACCAGAAGTCACAATCGATGGAGATCATAAACGGTATTTAGCCAACGGCACTGATTTACTGCTGAAATGCCAGTTCAACGCCTTGCCTACCGTTTCTGAGGTGCAGTGGGTAAAAGATGGGATTGTGATTGCATCAACCCTTACTACACCTTCGAATGGGTCACGTGTCACTATTTCACATCATAATGAAAGCCAAGCTCAGTTGTCGATCATCGCAGTTTCCTTGGAAGATGCTGGAAATTACACCTGCAATGTCACAAATAATGTTGGTAGCTCCTCAAATTGGACGTCGATTGTCATTCAAGGTATGTTGCGATGTAAATGAACTTAGACATGAAACAATTTGGTTTGTCAATATATTTCTTGGCCGAAAGTGACCAAAAGCAGAAATTGTATGTGAAGTCGAGGAACTGTTTTATACCAAGCTCAAATATTTTAAAAGCTTGTGGCCAAAATTTGACTCGTGAATTGACACAATGAAAAACCATTCTGTGTGTGTTCCTCTGAGACCTTACGGTACTTCTAGAGTCTCAAAGGGGTGTTGGCTTTTACGGCTAATAATTAAAATCTTGGTCAATTTACGGCTAAACTTCATTTTCTATCCTCAGTGATCACCAGAAGCCTAATCTTTTTCCGACTAACAATTAAAATCCGACTTGTTCCGACTAACAATTAAAATTTCCAGCAACGCCTAAAAATGTCGCACTGATAGTGGCATTTATTATTATTATTCTTAGTTATGTGCTTAAGAACCGGCTCAATAACACCTATTTAAACTGTTTGGATACGGAAAAAAAAAGAATGATAGATAAACATTTTAAGTATAAAATACTTTCTTGCATTTCTACAGTGACGCCTGTTATCGAGACGCACCCACAAGCTGATCCGATCAAAGAAGGAGAGAACTTGACTCTCTTTTGCAACGCTACTGGAAGCTCTTTGACAATATCATGGACGAAAAATGGATCTTCTATAAATCCAAATGAAGATGTACGGATCCGTTTGTCAACAGACAAAGAGCAGTTGACAATAACGAACGTGAGCAGGAAAGACAACGGAGCATACCGGTGTGTGGCGAGCAACAAGGTTGGAAATGCTACCTCCAATGTTGCCATAGTGACTGTCCGATGTGAGTTCAACTATGGTTTACGACACGACTAAAAATATGGATCGATCAAAATATAAATCGTTGTATACTTTAAATTCATCGTTGGTAAAAATGTTTAGGAAAGTCGGTTTCATTTGCTTTCCTATGTGATACAGCGCTCTAACCAACATGTCGCACTACATTTAGTAAATTACGTTTGATTTTGTAGAGAAAAATGATTTCTTTTTCATTATTTATATTGATAGTTGCCCCTGAAATCTTCCAATCTCCAAGAGATACCACGGAACTAGAAGGACAAACGGCTGTGTTCAATTGCGTAGTAGGAGGATACCCTACACCTGATGTTGCTTGGGAAAAAGATGGAGTGGAATTGAATGTGGCTGCACATGCGCGACTTAGTGTGTCTTTCAATGATGGAAACCACCAATTGATCATATCAAATGTTCAACAATCGGATGCAGGGCAATACAGATGTGTTGCTAATAATAGTTTGGATACCGCGACTTCATTTTCAGCAACCCTAACAGTACATTGTAAGTCTAAGAGTCGTTTTTAGTGAAACGTGCGAGTGTTGAATATTCTTTTATTTGTTTTGTTTTGTTTTGTTTTGTTTTCTAATCGTTGTCCATAGGTAATTCAGGTTATTATTTTTACAAACCCTACAAATTTTTGTGGTTTGTGAATTTGCTCTGCATTTGACTTTAACTACTCAGTTGCTTAATTTAAAAAGTTATTTAGTACTTCTATGGATAAATGTATATGTTGGCCATTGGCGCCAATACATCAATACTATCCATTAGAATTTTACTCTGTAATTGCCAGGTTTTCTCTCTCTGCTGCTCCATATCTTGTTCCTCTTCTTTCATAAACCTTTCAGTCCACATGTAAATTATTTTGACAAATTCAGCACTATCCGCAAAACCTGTCATGGGAATATGCAGACTCACATGTTCTAGCGCACAGTTTTGATATGATACCAGTTATGCTTGAAAAGTTATATCGTCTATACACATAGGATGAAAAAGTAAATAAATGATGATGATACAATTGTAATTATTAAATCACATTTTAGTTGATCCAGAGGTTACAATCGATGGTGATAAAGAGAAGATTGTGGCTAAGGGCGACAATATCAAGGTAACATGTCGGCACAAGGCCCTACCGCCTGTGGCTGAGGTACAGTGGATAAAAGATGGAGAGGTGATTTCAACAAATTCCACGAAAATGATAAACAACTCCCGATTGAATATTCTGCACTTCAATGAAAGCCTCATACAGTTGTCGATCAGTGCAGCTATCGTGGCTGATAGTGGGAATTACACTTGCAATGTCACAAATATTGTTAATAGTTCATCAGACTCGACATCTATCATTGTCGAAGGTATGTAAGAGCTGTTGACAAATTCTCATTTACTCGTGTTTTAGGGTAGGACAGCCATAAGCTGGGATTTCTCCTCACAGACTTCGAAGAAATGAGGACAGTTTTTAAGGTCTAATTAAAAAGAAATGTGAAATCACCCGTTACCTAGAGTAAGATTTCGCCTGAGGCTCAAGGGCTGTCCACAAAGTGCATGTTGAGGAGATAAGTAGCAACGACTGTCTCGTTCGTTTATCTTTAAATATTTACTGTGTGCGCAGGTGTGCGCAGGAATACCGAGTTACTGATTATTGGTAATGGGGACTTCTTGATGTGTGCTGGGACATCCCGATTTTTAATGAGATAGATTATAAGCTACTCTCAGAGATGGCTACAACCTACTGGAAGTCCCAGTAATCATCGCCTGTAACCGTTTCCGTTGCCTACAAAACTTTTAAAAATTATTAAGATGAAAATTGTAATTTGACCCAGCACCGGGGCATGGGTGAATATACATAATTTACACCTTAGAAAAGTAAAATAATTTACTTTAGGTTGATTAGAAGAGAAATGTTACTATTTATTTTCATTTTTTCAGGGTTGCATAATCTTAAAACACCTCGTGACTTCCGATGGTGTCTATGATAAATTTCTTCAACGATTAATTTAGCGCAAATGTAGAATATTTACAGCATTGAAAACATAGTGGAGTGCTTCAGACTTAGTTTCTTTTCTTTTTTCCCTAATACAGTAAAGCCTTCCATCATAACTCAGCCAAAAAGTGCTGCCCCTGAAGAAGGAGACACCGTCAAGTTGTATTGCAACGCTACAGGAAGCCCTATACTGCATATATCCTGGACGTTTGATGGATCTGTTATAACAGCAAATGAGAACTCCAGGATCAGTTTATCCAACGACTCTCAAGAATTGACAATAACAAGTGTGAAAAGAGGAGACAGTGGAGATTACCGATGTTTAGTGAAAAATAGGGTTGGAAATGACACCTCTGACCCCTCTTTGATAAACGTGCTTTGTAAGTACAGAATAAGTTTGCTTTTCTAAGTCATGAAATCGTACTATAGTCGAGCTATACCCAATCTCAAAGACCTGACTTTTTTAGCGTTATCGATAAGGTATAGACCAACTTCAGGTCGAGAGAAATGCAGTTGAACAAAAAAAAAAAAATAAATAAATAAACAGATTTGGGCGTAATGTAAATTTCCGGGTTGTTTTGCTACATTCTAATATAGGGGTCCAAACAGTCCCTCGTAATCCCAGAGATAGAAAGACAATTACCTGCATTACCTTTTACAAATGAAATACGTTCCTTTGGAGGCCAGATAGGGCCCGATTCTGTCAGAGTGAACGACAAGCTGTTTCTAGTTTACCCAGTAAATAAGACATATCTCTTAAATAAGATATAACTCTCTCAGGAAAAAAAAAGGAATAAAAAAGTATTTGATCGATCGTAGAACTGCTTAAGGTTATGCTTGTGGTTTATTTATCTATTCATTTTCGCTATCAATTTTTTTTTTCAGATCAGCCTGAAATTATTACGCATCCTAAGAATGTTACACCAGAAGAAGGACTCCCCATGACCTTATTTTGTAACGCGACCGGAAATCCACCACCAACACTATCATGGACCAAAGATAGATCTCCTATAAATAACAACCAAGGGATCCCTTTTTCAGGAGACAACGAGACACTGTTTATAGCGAGTATTAATAGATCGGAAAGCGGAAATTACAGATGTGTTGCCAGGAACGGTCTCGGAAATTATTCCTCAAATCCTGCAAAAGTCGACGTACATTGTAAGTGCTCCAGTTATTCTTTTCTGTCTTTTTCCTAATTTGGAAGGAGAAATTCTGTACAGTTGATAGGATTAAAAAGGTATTTGGCACAAATGAATGTGAAGGGGGAAGTAGCGATGGGTTCCTAGGAGTTGAAAGCAACAACCTCAGGAATCACCTTTCAAATCTTAAACTGAGTTAATGTCAAGTATAAATCAATTTATGATTTCATTGGTGTCGCAACTTGTGCAAAAGAAACGAAATGTTTGGGGCCGAAAGTTGAATGTGCGCCTAGTATTCACAAACAGATATCTGGCTTGTTATTTCAATTCCCTGTTGCGTAATTTTTTCCTATTCTTCAAGAAATCTCGTTCGGTCCCGTATTTGGGTAATTTTCAGCAGTTTCGTGGTGAGAAGGCAGATTGTTGTGCTATCAATCTTGTCAGCTTCGTCTGAATGTCGACAAGGACGCCATAGATGTTAGAACTTTTCGTTAAACATCGCTCATTATCACTGATGACATAGCATTCCTGGGTCTTGGCAGAAATAACAAATTATGTTTTCTCATTTATCGTTAGTTAGATGATGAAATATATACAAGATAAGCATAAAAATAAAAATAAGAAGAATTGAAATAATCCTATAGTCTTTCACACTGGTTAAGATTCATGATTTGACAATCCAAAAAAACAACAACAAAATGACTAGGACTTTGAGATATACAAAGAAATAAGCCGGTAGCTTTTGAAATTCATTTATTTGAGTTAATAGAACGTAACACTTCTATTTTTAAATTCCAAGTTGCACCTGAAATCGTGGAAAATCCAAAGGATGTCACCATAGTTGAGGGAGAACATGTTGTGTTTAGTTGTATGGTAGATGGAAATCCTTCACCAGGTGTTACTTGGACGAAGAACGAGGAAAAACTGAACATAACAGTAAATCAACGACTAACAGCGTCGTCACTGAACAACAAGCACAATTTGACAATCACAGATGTTCATCGATCGGATTCGGGACAATACAGATGTGTGATTATTAATAGTGTTGGCAACATAACATCATCTCCAGGAGATCTAAATGTACAATGTAAGTAACTTACAAAATTTATTTGACTGTAAGATTATATAAAATCGTCTATATGAACTGCGGATAATGAAATAAATATGAGAGCAATCTTCGCTACAATGAACACTACTTGAACAGTAGTGAAAATAGAGCTTTAAAAAAAAGTAAACAAAAAGCCCAGACCAGCACGAAACACTTTAATGCAGTCCTGGTTCTTTTTTTTTTCTTTTTTTTTTCAGGTTTTTTTTCCACCACTGCTTAAGTAGTGTTCATTACTGCGAAGATCGCTCCCATATTCTTAATTTCTTTGTCATGAAAAAAACAACGGGTGCCGTGAAGTGTATTTAAAATTTGTTTCAATATTTCATCATCTTAGCATAGTTGACAACACAAAGAGATCTCTTTGTGTCTATATTTATTAAATAAATAGCCTCGACTGTGCTCTGTGCTATTGCAAAGCACGCAGGAGGCGGTTAGAGCACTAAAGAAGTGTAGGGGGAAACAGGAGACGTAATTGAGTCTTTCCCTTTCCAGAAGAGCCGTAAGTTATGTGCCTTTGAACAGACACACAGGCAAGAGAGTAGATTTTCATTGAGATAACAGATGGGAGTGCAGGTTTAAATGTGATGCGTACTTTCGATCAAGCTCAAAGTTAATATGCGATGGTTGGGTTTTTTCGAAAAAGGCAAGTTATGAAATACCGGCTGCAATCTGTTTTGACGAAAAGAAAGAAAAGCGATCTAATATGAATAAGTGAACTGAAACAAGACGAAATGAAATGAAAATAAAACTTACAAGATGTGTAAGCCTGAAGGAAAAACGTGAGGTATCTGATAAAACTACTTGAACACAAAACCTTCTCTTTCCCACGAGCACATACTACAAACCATACATATCAACTATCGCCGCAGTCGAATAACTGTTGTAATATAGGTACTTTTGAATTCTGTTGTAAATATTAGTTTTGATCTTAAAGCCATTCTATTTTGATTGTTTTGAGTACTCGTATCGAGATAAGAAACCAGTTTTCACTAGAATTTGATGATTCATTTAACATCAATCACCGAAAAATTCATACCTTTCTTTTGCTACTCTAAACTACATGGCATCTTTTGTCCTTGTGGGATTTGATTCTTTTTAGGGGCGTTGACACTTCCTCCGTAGCACTGGAAAAACGCGAGGCGGCCGTTTTGAAATTAAGCGCTCCTGCTATAATCACCTTGCGCAAGGTCATTTTAGCGAGATATGACGCAATCCTCGACCAATCAGAGCGCGCACATCTCTATAATGGCCGTAGCAATTATACACTATAAATATGCGTTGGTGACGTAAACTTAACCAATATCACGCGGGTAGGACAGAAAAAACTAAATAGGATGTTTTTCACTATACTAAGTGAGATTTGAAATTTTCCCTTTCAAAGCCGTGATGCTTGAAATACTGTTTAAAGAGGATGTGACGGATCAATTTTTTTAAAATTTGTGCTTGAAACGGGATTAGCAACCTTACCCCCCACCCCTCCCTCCTCAAATAGGTGTCCATGTAAGATAGGGCTTTACTCACATGCTCATTTCTAATAAGTACAGGCTACTTTGTGAACAGTGTTTTTTGTTTGTTTATTTATTAATATTGCCACTAACTTTTCTACCCTTGTTATTTTGCTGTTTGTAATTAAACAACTGCACATGTGATCATTTCACGCACACAAATTGGACTGAAAATTCAAGAAAACAAAATGCATGTATGTGTCAGTGGACCCATTATGCATTGCACACTTCTACAAGTTCACGACACATACAGAAGGCCACTGAAAGACAAACGTGTGATGTGCTCGAAATTCAAGACAGGTTGTTAAAATGAGAGTAGGCTAGAAAGCCCTTCAAATTTCTCTTGTTAGTTAAACCATAAACACTGCAGGCCTCTGCAAGAAGGTTATGGATGTATTTGATGTTGCCAGTTGAGTTAAAGACCAAAACAACAATCAGACTAAACTGCCTTTTTTTCTAGTTCCGCCTGAATTTATCAGCAGCCCGCAGAATGTGACAGTAATAGAAGAGCAAAATGTTAACTTAACTCTGGATTGCACAGTTTATGGAAATCCTACGCCAGATGTGAAATGGACAAAAGATGGACATGATATATCAGAAAATCAAAGGATTAATGTTTCTGATTTTAAGGGAAACACTTCAAGTTTGACAATTACCAATATTTTGCGAGGAGATGAAGGCCAATATAGATGTGTGGCAAATAACAGTGTGAATACCACTACTTCAGCCCCAGGAAAACTGATAGTCAACTGTGAGTATTATTTCAGACTGCAATATATGAGATATATAATGTCAAAGCACTCTTGCTAATATTGGTTAGGTGGAACCTGCAGAAAGTCAGCACACCGGGTACCTGAGACCCTTATACATGTAAGTATCTGCTGAGAGCACACCCTAAGGAACTCGTAATGTCTGCTTGGTATTGTTTAGAGTGCCTGCTAATCCTTTATCTCCAAGAAGTGATTTATTTAACTTCACCCTATAGTATGAATATGTTTTTCAACAAATAGGTGTAAAAGAATACCAATGCTTATCATGCAGGCCCCGGTTGGTCAAAGGTTGGATAACGCAATCCACTCGATAAATTGCTCTCTAGTGGATGTTGTAGTACTTTTTCTTAGCAGTTATCCCATGGAAAGTGGTTTATCCGTTGGATAGTGTTATCCACTCTTTGAACGACTGGGCCCAGAAATTTTTATCTTGATCTAGAACCAAATTCTCGCAATCACACGTAACTTACAAGGAACTGTGTAATAGCTAGAGAGAAGAATTAAAAAAAAAATAGATATTGGGATTTAAAGGTTAATACAGGTTCTAAGTGCACATGTACTCAGCAAAGGTTTTAGTGCTGTTCCGTCATCTGCTATCAACGTTTATTTTGGGTGTGTCATGTGTAAACATTTTTAGTATACATGTACCAGTTTGGTAAAACTTGCATAAAAGGAAATATTTGGAAATAATGGGCCACATCTTTTGCATTTGGATGATATAAGCAGATAACCTAAAGCGTGGTTTGATTTGGTGTATTTCCTTGGGGGCTCATCAATATACATTTACAAACAACAAGTAAAAATTAATGGGGATACTACACACCAAATTGTCTAAAAATAGAACACATAATCATAGAAATGTTTCAAATACATGTACTGTACACGTTTGAGGTGACTAACTTGAAAAATCCTTATGATTACAGTTAGAGCGGATGTCAAAATAAGTGGCAGTGAACCAAAGTTTGTTGAAATAAACAAACAGATCCATCTGGATTGCCAGTACAATGCTTCGCCGCCGGTGTCGGAAGTACAATGGGTTAAAGATGGAAATGTGATTGCTCGAAATGGTAGTGGTATTGGTAATGGATCGGTGAATGTAACACAGTTCACTGAAAGTCAATCCCAGCTGCTCATTTTATCAAGTACTACACATAATGAGGGAAATTACACTTGCTTCGTCACAAATACTGTTGGCAATTCCTCAGACACAACGTCAGTCCTTATACAAGGTATGTTTTTCTGAATGATGCACGGTATATTGATATTTTGTACTATTGTTTGATCTCATCACTTTGAGTCAAGTACAGTATGCAGATAGTCTTCTCTGTAGGGCTGTTGTTTAGAGTTTACTGGAGATTATGGATTCTTCATTAACTTTGTTAACTTATATTAAAACTGATTCCATTTTTTTTTTGGATATTTTTTATCCTTTGTAAAAGTTTTATTTTTCTTTAAGAAACACAGTTCCAGGCTCAACTGTCTTTTACCCTTTACACCCTAACATCTTTTAGCTTACTCTCGATACTGTTCACTATACATTTTCTCAGGTGCTGACAAAGAGAATTTGTCTAACAAGCAAGAGCTTCTTCTTTCCTTTATTCGTGATCTTAATGTGTCATTAAGGTGTAACATTGTTAGGAGGAATTCGATTCTAATCACTCTTACAGGTTAAAGGGATAAAGTCATCATTTGGCAGCTTACACTTCTAAATGTTTCTTCCCCTCCCTCCCTCCCTCCTTCCCCCTTCCCCCCCCCTTCCCCCCCTTCCCTCCCCTTCCCTCCTCCCCCCCTCCCCCCCCCCTTCCCTCCTCCCCCCCCTCCCCTTTCCCCCTTCCCCTCCCCCCCCCTCCCTCCCCCCCTTCCCCCCCCCCCTCCTCCCCCCCTCCCTCCCCTTCCCCTTCCCCTTCCCCTTCCCTCCCCCCCCCCCCTTCCCCTTCCCTCCCCCCTCCCCCCCCTTCCCCCCTTCCCTCCTCCCCCCCTCCCCCCCCCCCCCTCCCCCTCCCCCTCCCTCTCCCCTTCCCCCCCTTCCCCCGCAAAAAGAGAAAGGTCAATTGTTCCAATAGAGAGAGGGAAACCAAGAATTAACCCAATGCGAAAAGAAACAAAAATTACGAAAAAAAAACAGCTGCACATAAATACATTATATCTATGTGTCTCTCTATTCTATTTTAGCCATAATTACACCAAATAATGTAGATCTTCAACTAAGCCACATTTGCTGTCAGTTATTGGTAGTTTTGTTTTTTGTTCATTTTCAATGGTCTGTGGTAATTGAGACTGCAACCGCTTGGATATGGGAAAAATTCTCATAAAACGTGGTCTTGCTTATGTTTTGGGGTTAGAGGAGCCTAAAGACAGAACATGCACAACATGACGGGAGCAGCAACGCAAATTATATTGATAAAATCATTCCAAAAGCTGAACAGTCGATATGCAAAAAAACTCGATCTCCATAACAATCTTATCGAAATAATTAAGAAGAATGAATTTATTTTCCTGTATCAGTAATGTGGAACTTGTCCAATGTAGAACGATTTTAAAACTCTTCATCTATTTGGTGAAATTGCACATTTTAATGAGTAATGAAGTATTGTTTAATTCCACAGTGGTGCCAGACCCACCGCAGACATTGACAGTTGATTCAAAGGGCTCACGGGTGGTGAATATCTCTTGGACAGCTGGTTTTGATGGAAATAGTGCCATTGAGAACTTCACAGTGGAGATCAGTGAAGATAATCAGATCTTTAAGGGTGTTGTTTGTCAGGGATCACTCTCAAGCAGTGCCTGTGTGGTGTCCAGTTCCTCCACAAAAGCCTCTCTTACAGGTCTTCTTCCTTGGACGACATATAATATCAGAATGTTTGCGACAAACACAATTGGCCAAAGTAACAGTAGCCATATTCTGAATGTTACCACGGATGAAGAAGGTACATGTATGCTACTCACTCTCTGCATTTCTTTGCTGTGTACGGAAGGAGCCACACCGATAATAGCTACCGGAGTATTATGACAGGGGATAAGGGCGTGTAGACTTTTTGGAAATTGTGGTAATTACTTTATGAGGGCTATTGTATGCCATGTGTCACAAATTTGTGGAGAAAACTTGTACAACAATCTAAGTGTGTATTAACTGCGAAAGTTTTGCAAGCAGTAGTGAGCAGGTGCTAGTTTATGTGCTTTTGTGCGGAAATCAAGCAAACACAATTTTGCTACAATTTTCATGTGTTATATATTGACATACTAAAAGAGTTGTATGTATATAGATATATATATATAGTTTTTAATTCACTTTGCAGTGCCAAGGGAAGCTCCGACTTTTGATGTGATTATTGTCAATTCAACTGCAGTGAATGTTTCCTGGCAGGTAATTATCAGACGTTACATTTATCTCCGAATGATTTGTTGTTGTTGTTGTTTTTTTTTTAGTATTGACATGTTTTATTTATTCCCTCCACATTTTACAACAAGGAAGGGAGAGTTTCAAACCTGAATTACTAGTTCACACAACTGTTTTGTTAAGTACAGTGTTAAATACGATAATTACAAGTATGCTAAATGATGCGAAAGTACGCATGATAAGACGAAACTTTAAATCTTGAATACTTCGTTAGTTTTCGAATAACCATGCACGTGTTCGGCTCTCTGCGGGTTTAAATTTGAAATTGCGTAGACTTAGACAAGTAGACAAGTAGACAAGACTCTGCTCTTAATCAACTTGGACAGCAGCTTACTTTTACATGTCGGCGATGTCAGCAACGACATTATTTTCAGCTCCCTCCGTTAGATTCCGTGTTGTTGTGTACCATTTAACGTATACATGTCACGGATGACGCGATGTAGCTAGCAAGACCATCGTTTATACCCTTGCCTGTGGCTTCTGTGTCGCGTTTTTAGTTTACAGTTGTAATTTCATTTTAATGATTTTGAGATCCACTTTAGACTAAGCGTAAGGAAACTCAGACTTAATTTTAATTTTAAAAAAATTGAATCAATAAGTACATGAACTGTTCATGATAGTATAGTACAGCAACTGGACGCCCTTAAGTATTTGTAAAAAGTATTTTATTCATCAAATAAATGTTTTTTTTTTTAACTTTACAAAACCAGATGCTAAGTAAGGACAAGGCTAGAGGTGCCATCTTGGGCTATTACGTTTTGCACCGGGTTAAAGACACTCCAACCTGGACAAATGAAAGTGTTGATAGAGCTGAAAAGACATCACTTTTAATAGGATCACTAAATGAACACACTACATACGAGTTTGCCATGCAGGCGTTTAACAGTAAAGGTGTCAGTAATTTAAGTGCTTTGGTGGAAAAGACTACTGACCAGCATAGTGAGTGTGACTTTATTTTACTCATGTTCATCTTTTGTATATAATTGTTTTTCGAACATGATTTTTATGGTTTGTACAATCTCAGACAATGATTATTTGCCGTATAACTTACAGTGTAGTTCTTCTAGTGAAGTGTTTTTTCATTACTGAACGTATAACGAATCGTAGGAAAGATTTGTCACAATGGTAATTGCATTTGTTGTACACATGTTCTAATGAACCTATTGATAGAGGCGTGCCTCACGGTAATTGGCTATTATCGATTGAGTTGACAACGTAAACTGACCCCCGTAAAGAGTTCCAAAGCTGAGGTTTCGAGCGTTATCCCTTCGTCAGTGCTCTGACAAGGGGCTAACGCCAAAACGTCCAAAACGTCAAAAAAAAGTTGAAAAGTCAGCTTTGAAAATCTTTACATCGGCCAATTTATGTTATCAACTCAGTTAATAAGGCCAAATTACCCTGTTATACTCTCCCACCGACGCAGCACCACGGTTTCTTTAGAAAGTTATCCCCTTTAGTCGTTCTCTCCTCCGTTTAATGCCCGGAAAAGTACATCTACGGGACCTTATGATACAATTTCTATGCTTTCAGAGCCTAGTGGGCCACCGCAACAAGTCACACTAAGCGATGTAACGTCTACAAGTATCAATGTATCCTGGGGTCCTGTCCCTGCTAATGATCGAAATGGAATCATCCTAGGATATAAACTAAATTATCGAACATTACCAAATCATGGCATCGTTACCGAATTCCTTAATATCAGCAATGAACAACAAAATGAAGGAAGAACAAAGATATTACAGACTCTGAATGAATTTACCAACTACAGCGTTAGCGTGTTAGCGTTCACTATAGTGGGAGATGGACCACCAAGCTTTGCCAAGTTTGTGCAAACGTTGGAGGACAGTAAGTTAACCTAATATCTTTTCTATTGTGTTACTCTAGGTAGAATACAATAAATTCTCCTATGTATGTATCTATAACAATGTCTTAGATCTCAAACTGTCAACTAACCTATGTAATGTAAACGAAATTAGCCACCCTCTTACAAAACTTAAGTCGCGCAACTCCCCCGGGTCTGATCAGCTTTCAATGCTTGTTCTGAAAGAATGCGCAGTCAAGTGAGCGCCTTCTCTTTCATTTTTAAACAATTCCTTCGATATTAGCCAGTTGCCGTTGTCGTGGAAGATAACCGTTATTTCCTCAGTCCACCCTTTCTTTTTTTCTTTCTTTCTGTTTTTTTTATTTATTTTTTAATATATATATATATATATATATATATATATATATATGAGCGGAGGTGTACTGAGAAGAGGAAATCCTTTTCGATAAAATATTTTTAATAAGGAATCTACGTGTAATAAGCAATGTTTTTCTTACTTATCCGAGTTTATCTTCAGTTCTAGCAAAATGCTGTCCCAGCTTATTTTGTTTTCATCCTTTACTCAGGGTAATTGGGTATTATCAACTGAATTGACAACCTAAATTGACCTCCGTAAAGAGTTTCAAAGCTGATGTTTCGAGCGTTATTCCTTCGTCAGTGCTCTGACAAGGGACTAACGCCGAAACGTCTCAAACGTCAAAAGCGTCGAAACTTTAGCTTTCAAACTCTTTACATTAGCAAATTTACGTTGACCAACTCAGTTGATGATACCAAATTACCCGGTGAAGTGTGAAGTGTGTATAGGAAGGCCTGCGTAAGCTCTATGGCACGTTGTTGTGTAAGAAAAGAATATGATTGGGTTTCTTCAATTCATTTATGGTTTTTTCGGGTTTAATTCGATGTCGGTTCAGGGCCATACCTCTGTATTTCGACTTGTTATCGATTAGAACGTAAAAGCTTCGTCGTAAAACGCTCTCACGTGCACATGTGCATATTATTTTAGTCTGAACATATCTAACCTATTCTTTAGAGAAGAGCCGAAAGGTCAAAATATGCAAAAGAAAAGAAAAAAAAAGAAAGACAAAACATTAAAATAAAGGTTGACGGGACCTGAGCTCGAACATGTTAATTCCGAATCCTTCGTTTTTTTTTTTTTTTTTTTTGTATCATATATCGAAAGTAATGTACAGTTAAGCAGTTTCCGCAAACGTGTAACTTCTTAAGCTGGAACCTGTTTGACCACTCCCTTCGTATACAAAGTCCGTTACATATGCCTATGGTTCATTTCAGAACCTTCTGCTGCTCCTTTGAATGTGAGAGGACATAACACAAGCTCAACCAGCATCTTTGTAATATGGGATGATGTTCCGGCTGCTGATAAAAATGGTATCATTACGAGTTACAACATCACTTATCACTCACTGACAGAGAATCACAGTAACAGTACAACAGTGGATTATCCAGATCGTCAAGTGACTCTGATGGGTCTGAGAGAGTTTGTTAACTACAGCATCACAGTGTTTGCTTCCACTGTGAAAGGAAATGGACCTGAAAGCAATCCTGTTATTATCAGTACTGGCCAGGATAGTGAGTAATTTTGCTTTTGGATTAATGTTCCTCGTTGCATTTCAGATATCAGTTCTAATCTGCTAACACAGTCAGGCCCAGTACCAGACCTAATATAGGTAGTAGCAGCTATTTTTTTATGGACATAGAAAAAGATTGGTATTGATTATTTCGCTGTTAAAGCAGTTCTTACCTCGTTTATATTAGAACCATCTGCTGCTCCTTTGAATGTGAGAGGGCATAAAACAAGCTCAACCAGCATCTTTGTAATATGGGATGATGTTCCGGCTGCTGATAAAAATGGTATCATTACGAGTTACAACATCACTTATCACTCACTGACAGAGAATCACAGTAACAGTACAACAGTGGATCATCCGGATCGTCAAGTGACTTTGATGGGTCTGAGAGAGTTTGTTAACTACAGTATTACACTTTTTGCTTCCACTGTGAAAGGAAATGGACCTGAAAGCGATCCTGTTATTGTCAGTACTGGCGAGGATAGTGAGTAATTTTGCTTTAAGTTTAATGTTCCTCATTGCATTTCAGAGATCAGATCTAATCTGCTAACACTGTCCAGTCCAGTGCTAGACCTAATATAGGCAGTAACTATTTTTTGTCGGGACATAAAAAAAAGGTTGGTATTGATTATTTCTCTGTTTAAAGCAGTTCTTACCTCGTTTTATCAGAACCATCTGCTGCTCCTTTGAATGTGAGAGGACATAACACAAGCTCAACCAGCATCTTCGTAACATGGGATGATGTTCCGGCTGCTGATAAAAATGGTATCATTACGAGTTACAACATCACCTATCACTCACTGACAGAGAATCACAGTAACAGTACAACTGTGGATCATCCAGATCGTCAAGTGACTCTGATGGGTTTGAGAGAGTTTGTTAACTACAGCATTACAGTGTTTGCTTCCACAGTAAAAGGAAATGGACCTGAAAGTGATCCTGTTCTTATCAGTACTGGCCAGGATAGTGAGTAATTTTGCTTTAAGATTAATGTTCCTCGTTGCATTTCAGAAATCAGTTCTAATCTGCTAACACAATTAGGCCCACCACCAGACCTTACATAGGCAGTAAGTATTTTTTCTTTATGGACATGAGAAAAAAAGTTGGTATAGATTATTTCGCTGTTTAAAACAGTTCTTACCTCGTTTACATCAGAACCATCTGCTGCTCCTTTGAATGTGAGAGGACACAACACAAGCTCAACCAGCATCTTTGTCACTTGGGATGATGTTCCGGCTGCTGATAAAAATGGTATCATTACGAGTTACAACATCACTTATCACTCACTGACAGAGAATCACAGTAACAGTACAACAGTGGATCATCCAGATCGTCAAGTGACTCTGATGGGTCTGAGAGAGTTTGTTAACTACAGCATCACAGTGTTTGCTTCCACGGTGAAAGGAAATGGACCGGAAAGCGATCCTGTTATTATCAGAACTAGCGAGGATAGTGAGTAACTTCGCTTTTGGATTAATGTTACTCGTTACATTTCTGAAATCAGATTTTATCTGCTAACACTGTCCAGTCCAGTGCCAGAACTAATATAGGCAGTAACTATTTTTTTAGGGACATAGAAAAAAGTTTGGTATTGATTATTTTGCTGTATAAAACAGTTCTTACCTTGTTTATATTAGAACCATCTGCTGCTCCTTTGAATGTGAGAGGACATAACACAAGCTCAACCAGCATCTTGGTAACATGGGATGGTGTTCCAGCTGCTGATAAAAATGGTATCATTACGAGTTACAACATCACTTATCACTCACTGACGGAGAATCACCGTAACAGTACAACAGCGGATCATCAGGATCGTCAAGTGACTCTGATGGGTCTGAGAGAGTTTGTTAACTACAGCATCACAGTGTTTGCTTCCACGGTGAAAGGAAATGGACCGGAAAGCGATCCTGTTATTATCAGAACTAGCGAGGATAGTGAGTAACTTCGCTTTTGGATTAATGTTACTCGTTACATTTCTGAAATCAGATTTTATCTGCTAACACTGTTAGGCCCAGCACCAGACCTAATATAGGCAGTGACTATTTTTTTCTTTGTGGACATAAGAAAAAAAAGGTGGTATCGATTATATCGCTGTTTAAAACAGTTCTTACCTCGTTTATATCAGAACCATCTGCTGCTCCTTTGAATGTGAGAGGACATAACACAAGCTCAACCAGCATCTTTGTAATATGGGATGATGTTCCGGCTGCTGATAAAAATGGTATCATTACGAGTTACAACATCACTTATCACTCACTGACAGAGAATCACAGTAACAGTACAACAGTGGATCATCCAGATCGCCAAGTGTCTCTGATGGGTCTGAGAGAGTTTGTTAACTACAGCATCACAGTGTTTGCTTCCACGGTGAAAGGAAATGGACCTGAAAGCGATCCTGTTATTATCAGTACTAGCGAGGATAGTGAGTAATTTTGCTTTTGGATTAATGTTCCTCGTTCCATTTCAGAAATGAGTTCTTATGTGCTGACACTATCCAGTCCAATGCCAGACCTAATATAGGCTGTAACAATTTTTTTAGGGACATAAAAAAAGGTTGGTATAGATTATTATTTTGCTGTTTAAAGCAGTTCTTCCCTCATTTATATCAGAACCATCTGCTGCTCCTTTGAATGTGAGAGGACATAACACAAGCTCAACCAGCATCTTTGTAATATGGGATGATGTTCCGGCCGCTGATAAAAATGGTATCATTACGAGTTACAACATCACTTATCGCTCACTGACAGAGAATCACAGTAACAGTACAACAGTGGATCATCCAGATCGTCAAGTGACTCTGATGGGTCTGAGAGAGTTTGTTAACTACAGCATCACAGTGTTTGCTTCCACGGTGAAAGGAAATGGACCTGAAAGCGATCCTGTTATTATCAGTACTGGCGAGGATAGTAAGTAGTTTTTCTTTTGGATTAATGTTCCTCGTTTCATTTCAGAAATCAGTTCTTATGTGCTGACACTGTCCAGTCCAGTGCCAGACCTAATATAGGCTGTAACAATTTTTTTAGGGACATGAAAAAGGTTGGTATTGATTATTTCGCTGTTTAAAGCAGTTCTTCCCTCATTTATATCAGAACCATCTGCTGCTCCTTTGAATGTGAGAGGACATAACACAAGCTCAACCAGCATCTTCGTAACATGGGATGATGTTCCGGCTGCTGATAAAAATGGTATCATTACGAGTTTCAACATCACTTATCACTCACTGGCAGAGAATCACAGTAACAGTACAACAGTGGATCATCCAGATCGTCAAGTGACTCTGATGGGTCTGAGAGAGTTTGTTAACTACAGCATCACAGTGTTTGCTTCCACGGTGAAAGGAAATGGACCTGAAAGCGATCCTGTTTTTATCAGTTCTGGGGAAGACAGTGAGTAATTTTGCTTTTGAATTAATGTTCTATGACGCATTTCAGAAATCAGTTCTTAACTACCAACACATACTTCTCCAGTACCAGACCTAATATAGGCAGTAACTATTTTTTTTTATATTCATTAAAAAATGGTATTGATTATATCGTTGTTTAAAGCAGTTCTTACCTCATTTATATCAGAGCCACTGACACATATGAGAGAAACGTCGTTTGAATCGGCGTGCTTCTAACTTAGACAATGCTTCATAGTAAATCAGCTCCGGAGATGAAGCTTATCGCTTCCAAACCCATTTTCGGTTATATTGGTATTGAATCTCAAGGAGCTCTTTCGCAATTGAATGTTCGGACGCATGTCAATACTTTTGCGTACGTTTTTGTACATTAAGTGTCCTGTAGGGTCAGCTAAAAAACGGAAAGCATGCTTCATGGATTACTCACGGCGTGATGAAGTCACGTAAGAAAAAGAAGGGGCTCAACAAGAAAGCAACAAGATCTGGCCGACAAAAGTCATGGACGCGTACTGCTCCATAAACAACTTATCAAAAATGCTGGCAACTCTTCCCAGAGGGAACACATTAATAAGATCTCTGAAGATCTAAAGATCTCTGGAACCCGAAATCGTTTTAGAGCTGCATCTCATCGGCCAGTAAAGGATCAAACAAGCTAATCTCCCTGAAACTGAATGATGTAACGATGGGAGAGGATTCAGATGTTGCCGAAAACATGAATTTTACATCCGAGGATTATGCAAATATTTTTATGTAAAACAATGTCTTGGATCTCAAACTGCCAACTATCCTATGTAATGTAAATGAAATCAGCCAGCTTTTAAAAAACTAAACCTGCGCAGGTCCTCCAGTCCTGATTAGATTTCACCGCTTGTACTGAAGGAATGCGTAGTCGAGTTAGTGCCTTGTCTTTGTTCATGATTAGTTTTGGCAGTTCTTTCGATACTGGCCAGGTGCCGTTGTCGTGGAAAATAACCGATCTTAACTCATATATTTCAGAACCTTCTGCTGCTCCTATGAATGTGAGCGGACATAACACAAGCTCAACCAGCATCTTTATCATTTGGAATGATATTCCAGCGGCTGAACAGAATGGTATCATCACAAGTTACAACATCACCTATCACTCACTGACAGAGAATCATAGTAACAGTACAACAGTCGATTTTCCAGATCGTCAAGTGACTCTGACGGGTCTGAAAAAGTTTGTTAACTACAGCATCACCGTGTCTGCCTCTACGAAGATAGGACCTGGACCAGCCAGTAAACCCGTTATTGTCAGTACTGGCGAGGATAGTAAGTGATTTGTTTTTAGTTTGATGTTCGTCGTTGCATGTTAGAAACTTGGCGTTGGTATGAATATGGAACGAGATGATGCGAGGCACCTCTTACATTTGAGTTTTTGTTTATTTTTTGTGCTTGCTGTGCCTTCGATCTTAAAAGGCCTGTGTAAGCACTATGATACGGTGTTGTTTAAGAAAAGAATGTGATTGGGTTTCTTTGAATTCATTTATGGTTTTGTCGGGTTTAGTTCAATTTCGGTTGAGGGCCCCACCTCTGTATTTCGACTTGCTATTGATTTGTGCTTAAAAGCCTCGTCGTCAAACGTTCTCACATGTGTATATTATTATTTTACTCTGAAGATATCTAACCTATCCTTTAAAGAAGAGGGTGAGCTGAAAGGAAAAAATAGGTAAAAGGAAAGACAAAACAAAAAAAGACAAAAAATGAAAAAAAAAACGGTTGACCATGCCAAAGCTCGAACCTATTAATTCCAAATCCTATTTTTTTTTAATATCATATATCGAAAGTAATGTACAGTACAGCGGTTTCCGCAAACGTGTAACTTCTCAGGCTAAGAACTGTTTGACCACTGCGTATGCAAAGTCCGTTAAATGTATTTATTGTTCACTTCAGAACCTTCTGCTGCTCCTTTGAATGTGAGAGGACATAACACAAGCTCAACCAGCATCTTTGTAATATGGGATGATGTTCCGGCTGCTGATAAAAATGGTATCATTACGAGTTACAACATCACTTATCACTCACTGACAGAGAATCACAGTAACAGTGCAACAGTGGATCATCCAGATCGTCAAGTGACTCTCGTGAGTCTGAGAGAGTTTGTTAACTACAGCATCACAGTGTTTGCTTCCACGGTGAAAGGAAATGGACCTGAAAGCGATCCTGTTATTATCAGTTCTGGCGAAGACAGTAAGTAATTTTGCTTGTGGATTAATGTTCCTCGTTGCATTTCAGAAATCAGTTCTTATCTGCTGACACTGTTCAGTCCACCGCCAGAGCTAATATAGGCGGTAACTATTTTTTGGGGGGACACAAAAAGAAGGTTGGTATTAATTATTTCGCTGTTTAAAGCAGTTCTTACCTTTTTATATCAGAACCATCTGCTGCTCCTTTGAATGTGAGAGGACATGGCACAAGCTCAACCAGCATCTTTGTAACATGGGATGATGTTCCAGCTGCTGATAAAAATGGTATCATTACGAGTTACAACATCACTTATCACTCACTGACAGAGAATCACAGTAACAGTACAAGAGTGGATTATCCAGATCGCCAAGTGACTCTGATAGGTCTGAGAGAGTTTGTTAACTACAACATCACAGTGTTCGCTTCTACGAAGATAGGACCTGGACCAGCCAGTGATGTTATTGTTGTCATTACCGGCGAAGACAGTAAGTGATATGTCACTGGAACATAAAACTCATAGAATTTAGATAATATATAACTTCTCGCCAACGTGTAATATTCTCTATATAATCGTCGAAAAATGTCAACTATCCTATGTAATGTACACGAAACTAGCCTCCCTCTTATCTCGAGCAAGTCCCCCTGGTCTGATCAGCTTTCATTGCTTTTACTGAGGGAATATCCAGTCAGCGAGCGCCTTCTCTTTCATTATTTAACAATTCCTTCGGTACTACCCAGGTGCCGTTGTCGTGGATAATAACCGATATTGTCTCTGTCCATTTTTTAAAATAAAACCCCTATTCCATGGAACCTCCATTAAGCGGTGACCCAATATTTAGGCGGTCACCCCAGCATTCCCTGGCGGTGACGGCTTAATTTAGGTTCGACCGTGGTTATGAATCTAAGTCTTTCTCTTGCATCCGGGAGACCTTAGTTGCGTGCATTTCTCTAACATCGTATCGACGTTTGTTAATGAAACATTTGGAGACCTTCAATTCTTTGATGGTAAACGTTATGTTGGCTTGGAATGTGTTCTTTCTTGTACACGCTTTTTTTTTAATAACATATTCCTAACCAAGACAATTAGTTTGAAACAAAGTTCCTATAAGGGTTTCTAAATACGAACGAATCGTGATCAAGGGCTCCTGGTAAAGGGTGCCGCTATGATAAGTTATTTTGACAAAACAGCAAAACACAATTTTCACCGTATCAACATTTCCCATAGCCGGTTAAATACTTGAACGAATCTTATCATTTCTTTGTATTGCCTTTAGATCCCGGTGGCCCACCACAAGCTGTCACAATCAATGTTATATCTTCTACAAGTGTCTCCGTTTCATGGAATCCTGTTACTACTGATGATCGAAATGGAATCATCAAAGGATATAAAGTAAATTATCAAGCCTTACCAAATGGTGAAATGGTCGCCAAGTTCAGCAATATCAGCAGTCAGCAACAGAATAAAACACAAACAGTGACTTTAGATAATCTGAATGAGTTTACAAACTACAGCATTAGAGTGTTAGCATTCACTTTAGTTGGAAATGGACCAGCAAGTGTTGCCCAGGTTGTGCAGACACTGGAAGACAGTAAGTTTAATGCAAGCATTTGTGCTTTTATTTTTTGCTATAACAGTTGTTGTGTTCGTTTCTGCCTCGTACACACCATAGAGAGTAATGTATGTTTAAGAGGTGGTCCGAAAAGATTTTACGCCGTATGATCTCGCGAGACACAGTGAGAGAATAATAATGTACACCTTATTTAATGGTTTAACACGTAATAGAAGCGGATATTTTGCGAGTTGCCTAGTTTTTTTCCGGGTGAGTAAAAGTTCGAGCAATGAGCAGGTGATATGTGCACTTGTAATCAAACTTTTTTCTAACAGTTTATTTACAATTGGAATGACTAGAATGATTTTATAAGACAAATACTTCATATCCTATGTTAAGGCCGTCATAAGCGAAGATCTAATGAGAAGTCGAAATATTTTTGACATAATATTTGTAATTTTGGAATCTTCGTGCAATTAGCCATATTTTTCTTAATTGTCCGAATTTATCTTCAGTTCTGGCAAAAATTAATGCTTTATCAGCTTATTTTATTTTCCATCCTTTGCTCAGGGTAATTGGCTATTATTAACTGAGTTGACAATGTAAATTGACCTCCGTAAAGAGTTTAAAGCTAACGTTTCCAGCGTTATTCCTTCTTCAGTGCTCTGACAAGGGGCTAACGCCGAAACGTCTAAAACGTCGAGACGTCAGCTTTGAAACTCTTTACATTGTCCAATTTACGTTATCAACTCAGTTGATGATACCAAATTACCCTGTTATACTCTCCCACCGAGACAGCACCACAGTTTCTTCAGAAAGCTATCCCCTTTAGTCGTTCTCTCCTCAGTTTGCTTCCCGTAAAAGGTTCATCTACGAGATAAATTTTGCGATGAATTTTCTTTGCTTTCAGAGCCTAGCGGGCCACCACAACTAGTCACAATTAGCGATGTGACATCTACAAGTATCAATGTATCCTGGGGTCCTGTCCCTGCTGATGATCGAAATGGAATCATCCTAGGATATAAACTAAATTATCGAGCTTCACCAAATGGTGGCATCGTTACCGAATTCCTCAATATCAGCAGTAAACAACAGGATGAAAGAGGAACAAAGACGTTACAGACTCTGAATGAATTTACAAACTACAGCATTGATGTGTTAGCATTCACTATAATAGGAGATGGACCACCAAGCGTTCACAAGTTTTTTCGAACACAGGAGGACAGTAAGTTGAACTAATATCCTCTCTCTATTGTGTTACTCAAAGTAGAATGTAATACAATGTGATTAAAGCGTAGAATGTACAAAGTGTAATTGCGTCTGATTCCCAAATCCGAGGATTATGCCAATATTTTTATGTATAACAATGTCTTGGATCTCAAACTGTCAACTATCCTATGTAATGTAAATGAAATCAGCCAGCTTTTAGAAAACTAAACCTGCGCAGGTCCTCCAGTCCTGATTAGATTTCACCGCTTGTACTGAAGGAATGCGTAGTCAAGTTAGCGCCTTGTCTTTGTTCATGATTAGTTTTGGCAGTTCCTTTGATACTGACCAGGTGCCATTGTCGTGGAAAATAACCGATCTTAACTCATATATTTCAGAACCTTCTGCTGCTCCTATGAATGTGAGCGGACATAACACAAGCTCAACCAGCATCTTTATCATTTGGAATGATATTCCAGCGGCTGAACAGAATGGTATCATCACAAGTTACAACATCACCTATCACTCACTGACAGAGAATCATAGTAACAGTACAACAGTCGATTTTCCAGATCGTCAAGTGACTCTGACGGGTCTGAAAAAGTTTGTTAACTACAGCATCACAGTGTCTGCCTCTACGAAGATAGGACCTGGACCAGCCAGTAAACCCGTTATTGTCAGTACCGGCGAGGATAGTAAGTGATTTTGTTTTTAGTTTGATGTTCGCGTTGCATGTTAGAAACTTGACGTTGGTATGAATATGGAACGAGATGATGCGAGGCACCTCTTACATTTGAGTTTTTGTTCATTTTTGTGCTTGCTGTGCCTTCGATCTTAAAAGGCCTGTGTAAGCACTATGATACGGTGTTGTTTAAGAAAAGAATGTGATTGGGTTTCTTTCAATTCAGTTATGGTTTTGTCGGGTTAAGTTCAATGTCGGTTGAGGGTCCTACCTCTGTATTTCGACTTGCTATTGATTTGAGCTTAAAAGCTTCGTCGTCAAATGTTCTCACATGTGTATATTATTATTTTACTCTGAACATATCTACCCTATCCTTTAAAGAAGAGGGTAAGCTGAAAGGAAAAAATATGTAAAAGGAAAGACAAAACAAAAAAAGACAAAAATTAAAAAAAACGGTTGACCACGCCAAAGCTCAAACCTATTAATTCCAAATCCTATTTTTTTTTAATATCATATATCGAAAGTAATGTACAGTAAAGCGGTTTCCGCAAACGCGTAACTTCTCAGGCTAAGAACTGTTTGACCACTGCGTATGCAAAGTCCGTTAAATGTGCTTATGGTTCACTTCAGAACCTTCTGCTGCTCCTTTGAATGTGAGAGGACATAACACCAGCTCAACCAGCATCTTTGTTACATGGGATGATGTTCCAGCTGCTGATAAAAATGGTATCATTACGAGTTACAACATCACTTATCACTCACTGACGGAGAATCACAATAACAGTGCAACAGTGGATCATCCAGATCGTCAAGTGACTCTGATGGGTCTGAGAGAGTTTGTTAACTACAGCATCACAGTGTTTGCTTCCACGGTGAAAGGAAATGGACCTGAAAGCGATCCTGTTATTATCAGTTCTGGAGAAGACAGTGAGTAATTTTGCTTTTGAATTAATGTTGTATGTTGCATTTCAGAAATCAGTTCTTAACCACCAATACATACTTGTCCAGTACCAGACCTAATATAGGCAGTAACTATTTTTTTTATATTCATTAAAAAAAATGCTATTGATTATATCGTTCTTTAAAGCAGTTCTAACCTCATTTATATCAGAGCCATCTGCTGCTCCTTTGAATGTAAGAGGACATAACACAAGCTCAACCAGCATCTTGGTAACATGGGATGATGTTCCGGCTGATGATAAAAATGGTATCATTACGAGTTACAACATCACTTATCACTCACTTACAGAGAATCACAGTAACAGTACAACAGTGGATCATCCAGATCGTCAAGTGACTCTGATGTGTCTGAGAGAGTTTGTTAACTACAGCATCACAGTGTTTGCTTCCACGGTGAAAGGAAATGGACCTGAAAGCGATCCTGTTATTATCAGTACTGGCGAGGATAGTAAGTAGTTTTTCTTTTGGATTTATGTTCCTCGTTGCATTTCAGAAATCAGTTCTTATGTGCTGACACTGTCCAGTCCAGTGCCAGACCTAATATAGGCTGTAATAATTTTTTTAGGGACATAAAAAAGGTTGGTATTGATTATTTCGCTGTTTAAAGCAGTTCTTCCCTCACTTATATCAGAACCATCTGCTGCTCCTTTGAATGTGAGAGGACATAACACAAGCTCAACCAGCATCTTCGTAACATGGGATGATGTTCCGGCTGCTGATAAAAATGGTATCATTACGAGTTACAACATCACCTATCACTCACTGACAGAGAATCACAGTAACAGTACAACAGTGGATCATCCAGATCGTCAAGTGACTCTCGTGGGTCTCAGAGAGTTTGTTACCTACAGTATCACAGTGTTTGCTTCCACGGTGAAAGGAAATGGACCTGAAAGCGATCCTGTTATTATCAGTTCTGGGGAAGACAGTGAGTAATTTTGCTTTTGAATTAATGTTCTATGACGCATTTCAGAAATCAGTTGTTATCTGCTGACACTGTCCAGTCCTAATATAGGCAGTAACTATTTTTTTTTAAGGACATAAAAAAAGGTTGGTATTGATTATTTCCCTGTTTAAAGCAGTTCTTACCTCATTTATATCAGAGCCATCTGCTCCTCCTTTGAATGTGAGAGGACATAACACAAGCTCAACCAGCATCTTTGTAACATGGGATGGTGTTCCGGCTGCTGATAAAAATGGTATCATTACGAGTTACAACATCACCTATCACTCACTGACAGAGAATCACAGTAACAGTATAAGAGTGGATTATCCAGATCGCCAAGTGACTCTGATAGGTCTGAGAGAGTTTGTTAACTACAGCATCACAGTGTCCGCTTCTACGAACATAGGACCTGGACCAGCCAGTGATGCTATTATTGTCATTACTGGCGAAGACAGTAAGTTATATGCCACTCGAACATAAAACTCATAGAATTTAGATAATATATAACTTATCGCCAACGTGTAATATTCTCTAGATAATGGTCGAAAAATGTCAACTATCCTATGTAATGTACACAAAAGTAGCCACCCTCTTAAATCGAGCAAGTCCCCCGGGTCTGATCATCTTTCATTGCTTTTACTGAGGGAATGTCCAATCAAGTTAGTGCCCCCTCTTTCATTATTTAACAATTCCTTCGGTACTGTCCAGGTGCCGTTGTCGTGGATAATAACCGATATTGAATCTGTCAATTTTTTTTGCAAATAAAACCCCTATTCCATGGAACCCTCATTAAACGGTTACTCTATATTTAGGTGGTCACCCCAGAATTCCCTGCGGTAACTGCTTAATTCAGGTTCGACTGTGGTTATGAATGCGAGTCTTCTCTTACTCTCTTTTAGTAAAGGGTGCCGCTATCGCATAAGTTATTTTGAGAAAACAGCAAAACACAATTTTCACCATATCAACATTTCCCATAGACAGTTTAATACTTGAACGAATCTTATCATTTCTTTGTATTGCCTTTAGATCCCGGTGGCCCACCACAAGCTGTCACAATCGATGTTTTATCTTCTACAAGTGTCTCCGTTTCATGGAATCCTGTTACTGCTGATGATCGAAATGGAATCATCAAAGGATATAAAGTGAATTATCAAGCCTTACCAAATGGTGAAATGGTCGCCAAGTTCAGCAATATCAGCAGTCAGCAACAGAATAAAACACAAACAGTGACTTTAGATAATCTGAATGAGTTTACAAACTACAGCATTAGAGTGTTAGCATTCACTTTAGTTGGAAATGGACCAGCAAGTGTTGCCCAGGTTGTGCAGACACTAGAAGACAGTAAGTTTTAAGTTTTTAAGTCCTTTAAAGTTTTATGCAAGCATCTGTGCTTTTATTTTTGCTGTAACAGCTGTTGTGTTCGTTTCTGCCTCGTACACACCATAGAGAGTAATGTATGTGTAAGAGGTGGTGCGAGAAGACTTTACACCGTATGATCACGCGGGAGACAAAGGGAGAATAATAATGTACACCTTGTTTAATGGTTTAACACGTAATACAAGCGGATATTTTGCGAGTTGCGTATTCTTTTTGCGCGTGAGGAAAACTTCGAACAATAAGCAGATAATGCGTGCGCTTATAATCAAACTTTTTCTAACAGTTTATTTGCATTTGGAATGAATGCAATGATTTTACATGACACAGACTTTATATCTTCTGTTAAGGCCGTCATGAGCGAAGATATAATGAGAAGTGGAAATCCTTTTGACATAATATTTGTAATAAGGAATCCTGGTGCAATTAGCTATAGTTTTCTTAATTGTCTGAGTTTATCTTCAGTTCTGGCAAAGTTAGTTCTAGTTGGGTATTATCAACTGAGTTGGCAACGTAAATTGGCCTCCGTAAAGAGTTTTAAAGCTGACGTTTCGAGCGTTATCCCTTCGTCAGTGCTCTGACAAGGGGCTAACGCCGAAACGTCTAAAACGTCAAGACGTCAGCTTTGAAACTCTTTTCATTGGCCAATTTACGTTATCAACTCAGTTGATGATACCAAATTGCCCTGTTATACTTTCCTTCCGAGACAGCACCACAGTTTCTTCAAAAAGCTATCCCCTTTAGTCGTTCTCTCCTCAGTTTGCTTCCCGTAAAAAGTTCATGTACAAGACCTTGCGATAAATTTTCTTTGCTTTCAGAGCCTAGTGGGCCACCACAACTGGTCTCAACTAGCGATGTGACATCTACAAGTATCAATGTATCCTGGGGTCCTGTCCCCGCTGATGATCGAAATGGAATCATCCTAGGATATAAACTAAATTATCGAGCTTTACCAAATGGTGGCATCGTTACCGAATTCCTCAATATCAGCATTAAACAACAGGATGAAGGAGGAACAAAGACGCTCCAGACTCTGAATGAATTTACAAACTACAGCATTGATGTGTTAGCATTTACTTTAATAGGAGATGGACCACGAAGCGTTCCCAAGTTTTTTCGAACACAGGAGGACAGTAAGTTGAACTAATATCCTCTCTCTATTGTGTTACTCAAGGTAGAATGTAATACAATGTGATTAAAGCGTAGAATGTACATAGTGTAATTACGTCTGACTCCCAAAGGATACTCAAAGCACGTATTGTAGATACGCTGTGATCTGATGAGGAAAATCTATGCTGTAACTTGCAAATGTTAAAGTGACTGACCCAATTCATTTTAGACATTTTGTACTAACGTCTTCCTTCAAATTGATGGATTCGAATGAAATCAGAAAAAAAGTTGAGACACATATGAGAGAAACTTCTATGAATGGGCGTGCTTCTAACTTAGACAATGCTTTATAGTTAATCAGCTCTGGAGATGAAGCTTATCGCTTCCAAACACATTTTCGGTTATATTTGTATTGAATCTCAAGGAGCTCTTTCGCAATTGAATGTTCGAACGCATGTCAATACTTTTGCGTAAGTTTTTGTACATTGAGTGTCCTCTAGGGTCAGCTGAAAACGGAAAGCATGCTTCATGGATTACTCACGGCTTGATGAAGTCGTGTAAAAAAAAGAAGGGGCTCAACAACAAAGCAACAAAGCAACAAGATCTGGCCGACAAAAGTCATGGACGCGTACTGCTCCATAAACACATTCTAAAAAAAGCTGGCAACTCTTCCCGGAGGGAACACATTAATAAGATCTCTGGAACCCGAAATCGTTTTAGATCTACCTCTCATCGGCCAGTATAGGATCAAACAAGCTAACCTCCCTGAAAGTGAATGATGTAACCATGAGAGAGGATTCAGATGTTGCTGAAAACATGAATTTTACATCCGATGATTATACAGATATTTTTATGTATAACAATGTCTGGGATCTCAAACTGTCAACTATCCTATGTAACGTTAATGAAATCAGCCAGCTTTTAAAAAACTAAACCTGAGCAAGTTTTCCAGTCCTGATTAGATTTCACAGCTTGTACTGTCTTTGTCTTGCCTTGTCTTTGTTCATGATTAGTTTTGGCAGTTCCTTCGATACTGGCCAGGTGCCGTTGTCGTGGAAAATAACCGATCTTAACTCATATATTTCAGAACCTTCTGCTGCTCCTATGAATGTGAGCGGACATAACACAAGCTCAACCAGCATCTTTATCATTTGGAATGATATTCCAGCAGCTGAACAGAATGGTATCATCACAAGTTACAACATCACCTATTACTCACTGACAGAGAATCACAATAACAGTACAACAGTCGATTTTCCAGATCGTCAAGTGACTCTGACGGGTCTGAAAAAGTTTGTTAACTACAGCACCACAGTGTCTGCCTCTACGAAGATAGGACCTGGACCAGCCAGTAAACCCGTTATTGTCAGTACTGGCGAGGATAGTAAGTGATTTTGTTTTTAGTTTGATGTTCGTCGTTGCATGTTAGAAACTTGGCGTTGGTATGAATATTTAGAATAGTTTATAATGGAACGAGATGATGCGAGGCACCTCTTACATTTGAGTTTTGTTCGTTTTTGTGCTTGCTGTGCCTTCGATTTTGGAAGGCCTGTGTAAACACTATGATACCGTGTTGTTTAAGAAAAGAATGTGATTGGGTTTCTTTGAATTCATTTATGGTTTTGTCCGGTTTAGTTCGATGTCGGTTCAGCGCCCTACCTCTGTATTTCGACTTGTTATCGATTTGAGCGTAAAAGCTTCGTCGTAAAATGTTCTCACATGTGCATATTATTTTACTCTGAAAATATATAACCTATCTTACTCTGAACATATCTACCCATATGTGGTTATCGTTCACTTCAGAGCCTTCTGCTGCTCCTTTGAATGTGAGAGGACATAACACAAGCTCAACCAGTATCTTTGTTACTTGGGATGATGTTCCGGCTGCTGATAAAAATGGTATTATTACGAGTTACAACATCACTTATCACTCACTAACAGAGAATCACAGTAACAGTACAACAGTGGATCATCCAGATCGTCAAGTGACTCTCGTGGGTCTCAGAGAGTTTGTTACCTACAGTATCACAGTGTTTGCTTCCACGGTGAAAGGAAATGGACCTGAAAGCGATCCTGTTATTATCAGTTCTGGCGAAAATAGTGAGTAATTTCGCTTTTAGACTAATATTCTTTGATGCATTTCAGAAATCAGTTCTCACCTCTTAACACAGTCCAGTCCGGTGCTAGACCTGATATAGCCAGTAACTTTTTTTTTTATGGACAATAAAAAAAGAAAAGATGGTACTGATTATTTCGCCGTTTAAAGCAGTTCTAACCTCATTTATATCAGAACCATCTGCTGCTCCTTTGAATGTGAGAGGACATAACACCAGCTCAACCAGCATCTTTGTCACTTGGGATGATGTTCCGGCTGCTGATAAAAATGGTATCATTACGAGTTACAACATCACTTATCACTCACTGACGGAGAATCACAGTAACAGTACAACAGTGGATCATCCAGATCGTCAAGTGACTCTCATGGGTCTCAGAGAGTTTGTTAACTACAGCATCACAGTGTTTGCTTCCACGGTGAAAGGAAATGGACCTGAAAGCGATCCTGTTATTATCAGTACTGAGGAGGATAGTGAGTAATTTCGTTTTAGGATTAATGTTGTTCGTTGCATTTCAGAAATCAGATCTTACCTGCTAACATTGTCCAGTCCAGTGCCAGATCTAATAGAGGCAATAAAATTTTTAATTTTTTTTTTTTATGGACAATAAAAAAAAACGATGGCATTGATTATTTCGCTTTTTAAAGCAGTTCTTACCTCATTTATATCAGAACCATCTGCTGCTCCTTTGAATGTGAGAGGACATAACACAAGCTCAACCAGCATCTTTGTAACATGGGATGATGTTCCAGCTGCTGATAAAAATGGTATCATTACGAGTTACAACATCACTTATCACTCACTAACGGAGAATCACATTAACAGTACAACAGTGGATTATCGAAATCGTCAAGTGATCCTGATGGGTCTGAGAGAGTTTGTTAACTACAGCATCACAGTGTCCGCTTCTACCATGATTGGACCTGGGCCGGCTAGTGATGTTGTTATTGTCATTACTGGCGAAGACAGTAAGTGATTTTGCCACTCGAACATAAAACTCGAATTCATATAATTCATATCTTTTTGCCAACGTGTTATGGTCGTAGTCATTTTTGGTTGCATGAAAGCGTCAAACAGGCTTGAAATTTCTAACAAGAAGGCAATTTTGGCCTTTAAACCCGAAAGGGTGAACACATATACCGTAATCACCACAAAGGAAAAGTATATCAAGATATTTCTTAATCCTCAACCAATTAGAGCAACTATCTGAGCAATATAGTGACATCTTAAACATATACTTGGATATTTTGTTTGTTTTTTTCTTTTTTATCACTGGTTTCGACAGAGTGAAGAAATTTTTCATTAAAACTGATCTTTGTGTTTTGTTCAAGGATATTGCTGTACTCTCCTTTCATTTAATTGCCGATTTTTTTTACAAATAGAGATGATAAGTTGTTAACTCAGCCAAAGCAAATAATACTTACTCTCCTAACTTTTGCTGCTCATGCGAAAACGAAGTCTCTTATACAGTTTTTTTCCTTTGTTCACTTCAGAACCTTCAGCTTCTCCCTTAAAAGTGAGAGGACATAACACCAGCTCAACCAGCATCTTTGTAACATGGGATGATATTTCAGCTTTTGAGCGGAATGGTATCATCATCAGTTACAACATAACGTATCACTCCATGCCAGAGGGTCATAGTAACAGTACAACAGTGGATTTTCCAGGTCGTCAAGTGACTCTAATGGGTCTAAGAGAGTTTGTCAATTACAGCATCACAGTATCTGCTTCTACAGTGATAGGACCTGGACCAGCTAGTTATCCCATTATTGTCCGTACTGGCGAAGGTGGTAAGTGATTTTGCCATTCGTTTGATGTTGTATATTGCATTTCAGAACCTCAGAGTCCTTAAATATAGTCAGCCACGTATGTGATTGAGCCCATCGTTCAATCCAGTAACCTATGATTGATATCGCCATACATCCAAGACATGAGCCTTTTACATTGACATTGAAAAAGAAATAACCGGATAGAGTGAAACCTTGTCTACCGGCCACCTCGGTAATACGATCACCTCGTTATTACGACCGCTTTTTCATGCCCGGAAAATCGGCCATACGTTTTCTTAATAAAACCTTCGTTGACGTTTTCACATTCTAAAACTGCCAAGAACAACATTTTAAAATCCTTAACAGTAGAATCCTTGGTAATTTCAATGGCCTTAATGGGGTTATCTGTTAGTCGTAAAATAGCCAATAACTCATCTGTTACGCATAAAAATTGACAACTTTTGACTTCAGTCGTAAAAAAAACAGTTTAAAAATTTCTGGTGACAACAATGGCAAGATGTTAACCGTTTGCCGTAAATTGGCCAAAATTTTAACCTTCAGTCGTAAAAGCCATCTTAATGCGGCCACGAGCGTTTAAAGTAAAAACCCAAAACGCCATTCACATGTGGATGTCATTGATCTCTGTCATTTATCGATAAATAGCCTATTTATTTATAACGAAGCAACGCTCCCCCCTGTTTTCATGACAAACATGATAAAGGAAATAAACCTTAACGACCTTATTTGAAAATATAATAACTGGTCGACTAATTAACTCGCAAACGTCCACCTTGTTATCATCGTAGTGAAATTGTCCTATTGGGAATTCCTCCTTCGTGGACGTGAACTTTGCTCATATCACAAGAAAACCACCCAATGCAACAGACAGGGCAAATTTCTTGCACGGTCTTGCGAGATCTACCTGTGCTATATAAAATCTGCACTACGTTCCTGAATTGCTGTATTACATACAGAAAAGGCAGAGATTGCCATGGGATGTCAACCTAGCAAATGTCATAGCTGAAATTTTGCAACTCATTTCATCTGTGATAAGTGGATTTAGCTGAGTGGTACGATTGGCTGCTTCGACTGTCCGATTACAGTCGTCCGATTACAGCCAACTGTCCGATTACACTGTCCGATTTCAACTATACAGAATAAGTGAAAAATAAAGCAGCTAATTCACCGATCACATTTGAGGAAATTATTATAATTGTGACTAGACTTGCTTTCATTGATCTGCATTCTGACGAATTTCATTTGGGGTAACAGATAGCTAGGAGTACGTAGCACCAAATGAATTTTTTGATCAGTTGAAAATTCGTGCGTTTAGGTGTTCCGCTCCCACATTATCCGCACGAAAATTAAGCCCTTAGTCTTTGGAAGAAATGGGAACCTCAATAGAGAAACAAGTCGTTTTAGTCGGTGCAGTCAGGAATATAAGTGGCCTGGTGCGAACCCCCTGACGGTCTAAGACGGACCGAAAACTGTAGTAATGCTGCTCTCAGCTCTGTTACTATTGTTTTCAGTGGAAAATACACAAATCAATGAGTTGAATATGGTATTGATTATCTAGATGTGCAGGTACTTCTTACTTTCTTTATTTCAGAACCTTCTGCTGCTCCTACGAATGTGAATGGACATAGCACAAGCTCCACAAGCATCTTGGTCACGTGGGATGATGTCCCAGCTTTTGATCAGAATGGTATCATCACGAGTTACAACATTGCCTATCACTCGCTGAAAGAGAATCACAGTAACAGTACAACTGTGGATTCTCTTATTCGTCAAGTCGCTCTGACGGGTCTGAAAGAGTTCGTCAACTACAGCATCACAGTTTTTGCGTCCACGGTGGTGGGAAATGGACCAAGCAGTGGTTCTATAATTGTCAGTACTGACGAAGATAGTAAGTTATTTTACCTTTAGTTTGACGTTCATCTTCGCATTTGAGAAACTTTGCGTCCATATGATTTTGGTTAGACTCGTTTGTAGTCGAACGAATGACGAAAGGCACTTGATATATCTAAATTTTTGTTTTGCTTTGTTTTTTTTTCCACCTTCAGAATCAAGAATTTGGCTAAAACTTTTTATTAATTCTATAATCGGAATCTTATTTATTTTCCAACAATTATGTTTGTTATATACTATCATTATTTTTTTATTCTGTTGGTTTTTTGTTTGTTTGTTTGTTTGTCTTTAATTACGGTTTCCTGTCAACCATTCAGATTATTAATACGATTTCTGCCAAGGGAGCTAATGTAATTCAAATTTCTGTCCTTCCCCTATTCGAATGAGTATATTTTCCTCTTAAGTGTTATTCACTTTATGTCAAAATAGAGTAAATGTCACGTCAGGCGTTTTCTACATAAGTCCCCTTAGACTACTTCCTTGGAAAACAAAGTATCTTATGTTCTTTCTGTTTACTTCAGAGCCTTCTGCTCCTCCCATGAACGTCGCTGGACAAAGCATCAGCTCAACCAGCATCTTAGTCACGTGGGATGAAGTTCCAGTGGCTGAACAGAATGGTATCATTACAAATTACAATATTAGCTATCACTCACTGACAGAGAAACACAGTAGCAGTGCAACAGTGTATTATGTCGCCCGCCAAATGACTCTGACTGGTCTAAGAGAGTTTGTTAACTACAGTATCACGGTGTTTGCATCTACAGTAGTGGGAAACGGACCAGCCAGTGATCCTATTATTGTCAGTACTAGCGAGGAAAGTGAGTAATTTTGCTTTTAGTTCCATGTATTAACATAATATTTCAGATGATAACGAGAGAAAGAAATGTAAGTCACATTTTATCCCCTTCCTTCAAAGGGATAAAGGGACAGAAAAAATGATAAAAGCTAAAAGTGAATGAAACAAAATGATAATCTATGATGGTTTGGCAATATTTGGTGGTGAGGTAGAGTCAATCATGCTAGAAGTGTTTTCAACATGAACACCGTTATGGCCTTTTAAATCCGAAGAGTTATACGCCCTTGTTGTCTAATCACCGCTCGGGATGATTATGGAAGATAATGTTCAATCCTTGACCATTTTGAGCGCGTGTATATCTATTGCTTCCTGTATGGTTATACCGATACCTTTTATCTGTGAATTTTTACATAATATCGTTATTTGTCGTTTTCATTATAATCCCAGGGCATTCTTTGCTTTTCTTTTTCATAGGTTGTTACAACATAGTAAAAAGTCTCTTATAATACTAGCCTTTGTGCTTAGTTTACCTTGTCTATTGTTGTATTTTCATGATCATTTGGTTAGCCGCTTTTTGCCAAGGGGAGATATGTCGCAGACTCAGCCATAGCGAATGATTCTTATCCTCTTTATTTTAGAACCATCGGCTGCCCCTGTGAATGTGAGAGGACATAACACCAGCTCAACCAGCATCTTGGTAGAGTGGGATGATGTTCCAGCTTTTGATCAGAATGGCATCATCACGAGTTACACCATTACTTACCGCTCACAAACAGAGAATCACAATGTCTTTGCTATAGCTGGCCCCAATGACAGTCAAAAGGAATTAAGAGGTCTTAGGGAGTACGTCAATTACAATATCACAGTACGTGCGTCGACTTCGAAAGGCGATGGACCAGAGAGTAGCCCTGCTATTGTTGTTAGAACAGACCAGGATAGTGAGTACTGTTCTTGGACAAACTCTCCTGTCCACGTTTAATACTGATGTTTGTGTCTATCTTCCAGTTATAGCTATTTAAATTTGGAAAGAAGTTGATTTGAGTCTTAAATGAAGTAGTTTCGTGTGTGTTATTACATTGTGGAAGATAAAAAAAAAAAAGATAAGAAAAAATTCCCTTGGAAAAACCTTCTGCCCAAGCAATATTTTTTTTAAATTAAAATCTGGAGAAGCTTTGAATGAATATTGACTTGTAAGTTATCTTTTTTTATCTTTTTTTTATGCGGGAAAGTTTGATTATGCAGCTTTATTCAAAAGTTAATAACGTCAGAAATGTCGGAAATCTTGCAGTAAGGGCGCTATGGCGCTATTATTGTCCCTTTTCAATCATCGTTGTTTTTTCTCTTCGGATTTTTCTTGTCCTATGGTGTTTTATAAAGCAAAATGTCTATTTCAAAGTGTCCATTAATTTGCTTTACGAATGCAACTGCAAGACTCAGCAAAATGGCTTTCATTATCTTAACGTAACGCCGCTAAAGAATGAAGTTATGAAATCATCATTTACTTGCCACTGATTTTCAGGACCCAGTGCTGCCCCTCAGAATTTACGTTCAATCCATACGACTTCAACAAGCATATTTGTCATATGGGATGAAGTTTTTCCCGAGGAACAGAATGGTATCATTATTAGTTACAACGTCAGGTATTGGGCGATACCAATAGGATCTGCTGGGCCTTTTTTTTCGAAATTAGTTAGGGCTCCAACAAGGCACGTGAACCTGACCGGCCTAACAAAGGATATGCATTACAACATCATTGTGTTGGCATCCACAATCAAGGGCGACGGTATTTACAGCAACCCAAAGACGTTGAGAACAAACGAAGACAGTAAGTCCGTATTTTTTAATTATGTGACCATAGAAAATAAAATCACGCGATATAGCTTTCTGTTATTAATTACAAGTTGCGGCAACATCAGAAAGATCGGATCGGGTCCACTTCCGAGTAAAACAGTTCTCGTATGAATACAGTTACATACTGGTTAAATCCAGCGGGAGTGACACCATGTATGTCGACCTTCTAAAACACGAACTTTTTTCTATGTCATACACTTAAACGGGTGAATACGGGATTCGCGAAAGGAGAAGCCTTACAAAGCCTGACAAACTTATCTCTGACGTTATTTTCTGCGGGAGAGACTGATACTTAAAAAAAGAAAAAAAAAATGGCGCGCACACATGAAAATATTACCTTTTGTAACACAATCTCATCCGGCTTTGCCAAGAACATACAGATGGGGAAATGACACCTTAAAACTAACCTTTAATATCACATTGCAAATGGAAGTCATTAAAGGATATCCTAATAACAGCTAAGCTTTCAGCTTAGAATATTTAAAAGCGCAAGCGAATGGCAGGAGTCGTTCAAGCTATCAACACCTTTTAAAGATCGACAACCTTTTGCTTTCCGGCTTACCCGGTGTTTCGCCGTGCGCATTGTAGAGTTATTCATTGGAAAAGTGACTCCGTTCATAGCTCAAATATAACTGTCCTTCATTCAATGATCAAGATAGTAGATTTACCATACAACACTCGCGATAAGTTAATTTCCTTTTACTTACGAAAGTAGATTTACAACACAATTGAGTATATAATATTAACGCTGTGTAACGCAACAATGAGCCTTTTCTCGGCCATAATCGGTCTCAAACACCCGCGCTTAAAATGCAGGAACACATGTACCGTTGGAGAGCGTTTGAAAGCGTTTGGTCAGAGCTGTTAAAGAAGGATAAAAGTAGCCATCAAAATCTTTGGAAGGCTCCAAATTACGACGTACATCAAATTTGACCTTCTTAAAATCCGGTCTAAATTTAAATACAAAAAAACAGTGATCACGTTTGTCCCTGAGAACCATAGAATACGCGACAAATACGAACAAAAAATACTTTTACACATTCAGAATAAATCAACTTACATTTACCTATGGTGAAAGGAAAACGGAACGGCCTAACTTTTACGGAATGTTCAGTCAAAATCTGCCGAATTCTGCTGCTTTCACCGCCATATTGAAAATGAAGCTACAACAATGCAACGCAATCGGAGTGCGCACACCGCCTGCTTTAGTTCTATCTCTATCAGTTTATCAGAGGCGTGCTATTTCACGCATTTACCTTAATTAAAATCAATTGTTAAATATCACAAAAGTCAATATGTTAGCAAGCGCCATATACCTCCGAGCTGCCAAAGAGAGAAAATCGCGAGTCAGGTGTTTAATTTTTGACCACCAGATAGTGTTGAACATTAATCGCCACTTCTGTGACAAATGTCTTTAATTTTCCACCTCTTCGTCTTTTCACAGGGCCCGGTGCACCTCCTCAGAATGTACAAGGTTATAACACTAGTTCGACCAGCATTAATGTTACATGGAATGAGGTGCCGAAGAACAAACAGCATGGTGATATAATCCGCTATACTGTCATGTACAAAAATACAACAAATGTCATTTACGAGTCAGTAACACCAATATCTGGAAAATTTGTTGAATTAGAAGAACTTGATAAGTTCACATTTTACGACATCAAGGTTTTAGCTGCCACCAATTTAGGGAATGGACCAGCAAGTTTTCCTATCAAAGTCCGAACAGACGAAGACGGTAAGTAAAAAAGGCTTTCGATAAATCCTTCAGAGGCCAGGACTGTAAAAGAATGGGTCAAGTTACCATACGAATTGGGGACAGGAAATTCAGTATGTATCATTAAATGCGGCGCTTCTGCAATAATCGATGATGGAGGTGTCCAGAATACCAAAATATCCCAATGTCCTTAAAATTGTGAGTTTTTAGGGCCTCAAATAGCAATCTTGGATTAGTTATCATTTGTGAGGTGTTCAGCGGTCGGTACCAAAGTATGAAGAAAGCGTAAAATTTGCCTTTTGCCTCGCGGTTTGTAACGGGCTGTAAATTTCTCGACTTCCTCCTTCTATGACCAGTATGAAAAGTCATCCCCTATTTCCAGGGATACTAAACAGTAACCTGCGGTGAGCCACCATTTCGTCCTCAGAAGTAGCAGTACTCGTTGTAATTTAATTCTGGAGAAATCGGGGCGAGTGCAGCAACTATGCGGACATCGATCTGCTTCCCAAGCTTTGCGTTCGCTATGTAGCCAGTGTTGATAAAATTTCCCTTTTCTCCTAGCACTCCTTAACCTGAAAGCTTTCCAATTGTAACTCAGTAACTCATGATAGATGCGAGAAAGAAAAAATGATACTATGTGGTTGTCCTGTCTTTATTTCAGTGCCCTCTGCGGCTCCTACATTAGTTTCTGTACAAACACTGAACAGCACTAGCATACAAGTTAAATGGTTGACAGTTCCTGAAGAATCCACACACGGAATTCCGACCAGATACACCATTTACTACGCAAACTCCGATGGCAAGGTGGATACCAAGGTTGTAACGCCAGTCAATGTTCAGAATACATATCAAGAAGTTGTTTCTGGTCTTAAGGAATCTACTGAGTATTCATTCCAAGTTTCGCTTTCAACTGCAAAGGGGGAAGGTCCCCTAAGTTTGTCCAAATCTTCCACAACCAAAGGTGGATGTAAGTGGTCCAAAAAGTATTATTTCATAGCATTTATAATGTTATCAATGACAAAGCATTTTGACTCGTCTCGTTTGAAATTTTAACTGAATGGAAGACTTCGATATATTTCTACGCTGGTGCTACTTTTTCACACGGCTTTTAAGCTATCGAAGAAAATTAGAGAGTGTGCTTTTACTCTTTTAAAAGTGCTCACTCTAAAACCTTCCGTAAGTGTCACTTCACGACTCTTTGAAGTCCCCTCTTCCCAAGATTCCAAAGAGTGTGCACTTCAAGACTCATTTAAGTGAAATGTACTTGAAAGAGTTTGAATGAAAAACTTTCTAAAATGCGCACTATGTGATAACTTACAGCGCGCTTTATAGAAAAAAAATTGTGGTGCATACTTTAAAGACATTTTAGAGTATAAACTTCGAGACTCTTAAAAGACATCTTGAACTTCAAAGTGGAGGTTTCTTTTAAGTGTAATGAACCTTAAATCAGGCTCGGGGTCGTTCTGTTTCCTGTAATGAGTGCACTTAAAGACATTTTCAAGTGCGCTCTTTTAGGCTTTAAAGAGTGCACACCTCAATGCTCTTTGAGTTGCTCACCCTAAGACACTTAAAAGTGTGTATTTTAAGGCTGCTTAAAGTGCACACTTTAGACATCTGAAGATTCTCGCTTTAAGACTCCTTGTGGTCGTAGATGAGGACATCTTAAAGTGCGAATTTAAGGATTCTTTAATTACAATTAAACATGTTTTTGATTAACCAGGATCAAGAACGTTTACGGGTTGATATTGTTGTTAACCACGCTTTGTAATGTTCTAATGTCGTCTGATTTCTTAACACCTCACTGTCTGCATAACTTGGTTGTAACAAAATTCCACTGATTTTAGGTAAGTACACTTTTCAAAAATAATACTCCATGTTGCGTGATGTATTTCAGTGCTGAAAAACATTCTTGTTTTCTGTTTACGTTTATTTATGTGGGTGGATTATACCAGCTCAGAAAACATATCACGACGTACTTTTTATTTTCTTGAAAGAATGGTAATGAAATTATGATACTGAACACGCTTTAAGATTGTTAAAATAAACAGAGCTGTTTGGAAGTTGTCTTCAAATGAGCTGATTATTTGACAGTACTTAGCGATCCAGTGGCTACAGCAGAAAAAGAAGGACATGTACGCTTGAAGAGAAGAAAGGTAACAACTTACTGTGGGCAGGAGCACGTCACTTCGTAATAATCATATGAACAGCGTGTTTACAGCAGGTAACTCATCTTTATTTAGTTTTAAAGTGCAGGAAACTGATCGAAGCCGTCACTGCAAAGGAATGTTTCTATTATGTTACACTGTGTTTTCCTGTAATCTGCAGACCTGATTAAAAATTCTTACAGATGAAAAAAAAAAGTGTGAGTATAGTCGACTTTCAACTTTTTCTGAGATTGTAAGAAAACGAAATAAACCACCAGAAAGATTTCTTCATTGGAAGAGGTTTTGTGAGAAAATGAAATAAATATACACATGTAGACTATATGTGTGTTTATTTATGGGTAGCCCAAATGAGAAATCAATTAATAAATAAAATAAAATAAAGGTTTTCTCATTATTGTCAGCATGGTGAATAGGAGTAAACTCATTCCAGTATTTTGGAAGGTTTCCTAACATCATCTTTGTCACACTTTACCTTCAAACGAATTACCCCGCAGTTTTGACAGTCACAAATGCATATACAGCTATTTTGATAAAATTTTTTTGCAAAAAAAATCTTTAAGTCCACGCGACAAACCCGAGAGGTATTGTCTGTAATTAACAAGTCACGGTTCGTGGACCTCAGGATCTCAAGGAGATCTGAGTAAACATCGCTGTAAGTACGATGCATTACTTTTTTTGGATGAATTTGCATACTTATTTGACTTATTGAGTTATTACCGGATAACCATATTTCCTTTCGAGATTGTCCCTTGCACTCCTGTTTTTTCCAACACATGACCTTTCTCGCAACAGCTGTATATGAAATAGTCATACGTGGTATTAAATGAACCTTATGCACCTAAAGTTGTTTACTTTATTTTCCTTCAGGGAAGAAAGATTTTCAAGGAGCAGTTATGACCGGACAGGTTATCAGATCAGTTTGCCAACCGATTGGGCTTTGATAGAACTTAATAAATTAGATAACATGATCTTTGCGATGTTACAAATGAAACAGAAATGAATTCACATAAAAGCACTTGTCAGCAATACCTCTTTTGTACAATAACTTCGATATTTCAGCCTGACCCGAATCTTATCCGAACAACCCGGGCTGCAAAGTTAGAGGAAAAAACTCAATAAATTTTCACCAGTATGGCCTTCAAAAGATGCAAAATCATATAATGGCATGGTAGAGCTCAGTGGATTCAACATCCATACTAGAACTGATACGGACGTCAATAAAGGCCAGGAATCCAAACAATGAATTTTATAATCACGTGGTATGGTCCGGGCATTGCGTTCCCAAGTGTCCCTATTCACTTCCTTTTTTTCTTTCTTTCTTTCTTTTTTTCCTTATTATTAGGGAAGCTTGTGGATTAACTCTCACAGGAAGAGGTTCTGAGGTAAGTAATCGTTAAAAGTGTTAAGGCAAGATGAGGATGGTGAACAGAAATGAATTAGTGTCTTACTTACATTTATGCCCTACTGACTTTTTTTCTTTGGGGTGTGGTGCGTACACCTCACGCCTCCCTCCCCTCCGCCCTCTTTATACTTATGAACGGGGGGACACATGAGATGGCTAAATGAGTAAAAAAGAAATAAAATTGAAACAAACACAAAACACACACCACCCAAAAAAACACAAAATACCAAACATGAAATACAAACCAAAACAAAAACAAATGAGAGAATTAAACGAGAGTAACTTTGAAATTTTGCAGAGCCATCAGGGGCACGAGGAGTGGCGTCCATGTACTGAGCAGTCTTGCACCTATCGTATAGCTTGTTGTGCAACTTGGTACCTGAGAAGCTCGCTGATTGCTCTAACTACTGATCACTCGGGTGGCAATTGTTTCTCTCTTGACCTCTAAAGCTCCGAATTTAATTTTGTACTTAAGTGATAATTTTTATCCCACTGACTCTTTTTAATTAGTCTTATGATAATTGATCTCGGCACCCGCACGCAAAACACTTCTTTGAGTGTGTACTAAAAAGTGTGAGGTCAATGACTATCGATTTCGAAAAAATATCTGACACTCAAAAAGGCGTTTACAATAAAGGATGAGATTTTACGGCTTCCTGGGCACACTCAGACATGATAACCATTATAAGCACGTGGTGAATGATGGAGGCTACCCACGATAAGCGTAAAGATTTACAATTTGTTGTTTGCTAATTCTCCCGTATTTTTCAATTACTCTGAACGTGAAGTGATATTTAAGCTTGTTTAGGCTCCTTGACTATTCGTTGCCAGACTGTAAACTGGATTTTATTCTTATTACACTCGCTTATTTAGATAAGATCTTTAAATATTTTGCTGATCTGTATGTAAGCTTGTGATATCGGGAAAATAAAACTGATTTAAAGCATATGATTTTAATTATCGTTATACATATACCTAATAAACCAGTTACTGCATAGAAAGTGCTTTGTACGGATTTTTATTCACTCTTTGCAACTCGTCAACTTAGTTATCGATTTGGAAAAAGTGGTGTTTAGAGAAGGGAATTGTCAAGGATCCCGCTTAACACTTTGCTCAAGCGATTCTAAGCCGAAATTTAAAACAAACATGGTTAAACCTCGCAAACGACGATTCCACTCCATCGAAAGTGATTCGGACACAGACTGAACAATTGCTTGAACTGTTTAGCCGGACTTTGAACTTTTTTGCGCCTTATAGATGTGATAATATCATTGTATATTACTGTTTGGATCGTACGCGGTTGTTTTGACCGAATGCACAGGTTTGAATAAATTATTTTTGCACCTGACGCGCGCGCTTTGCTTCCGCGTAATTATGATAAGCTATCTCATATTCTTTTTATGCGTGTTATTAATACATAATCACAGATTTTTCTCCTGCAGTTTGGAATAAATAAGCACTTGTGAATATTTTAAAAGACCACAAATTGCACTCGCCCCACGGGCTTGTGCAATTTTGTTAGTTTTTGAAAAAATTTACTGCTTATTTATTCCAAATCGCACTCGAAATCATGTGATTTCCTATGCAAACGATCAAATTTTTATGGTCCTAAAAGCTTTTGATTGACTTCGTCTTCTTGATTCGTATTATATGTAATAAGGGAACGTTGAAAAACAGCGTATTTTGTCTCGTCGTCAAGCTTGCCATTAAAATACTTTGTGAAGTCTAAACGGAAAAGAAAAAGTATGGCCCAGAACACTAAAATTAAATGTAAGAATTGATAATCAAGTAAAATAGCAGAAGAGCCGAAGAATCCACCTCCAACATTCCTAACAAACCTTTAGGTCTTCCTAATAAAAGGGTAATTAGTGTTAGCAACTGAGTTAACGACGTGAATTGGCCACCGTAAAGAGTTTAAAAGCTGACGTGTAGAGCTGTGGTGTAGACCTTCGCCATTCACTCTGACGAAGGGCTAACACTTTGAAACCCTTAACGGTGGCCAATTTACGTCTTCAACTCATTTGATAATACCTATTACCCTGTTATATTTTCCCACTGACGCAGCACCATAGTTTCTTCAGAAGCTTATTCCCTTCATCTTTATGCTACCAATAGTTTGACACCAAAATTTGCATATCATTATATTACTCGACTGGCGGTTTTTTTTTTTTTTTTTTTTTTTTTTTTTAATACAATAGCGAGTGAAGGGAGGGGAGGGGAAGTATAATTGTTTGAATAGTTTTGGAAACGTTTTGCAATAATCCGGGGAATTTCGTGGAAATACTACCAAGAAAATTAAGAGGTTTGGGCGGAGCGTACTTTAGTCCACCCAATTAATCCCTTTAAATGTAAAGATCTCCAAAATTTCTTTATCACTTGGAAACACCTCACGATCGCATGAAAGGGCGAGTGAAGGGAGGGGAGGGGAAGTGGAATTTACTGAAGAGTCTTAGAAAAGTTTTGCAGTAATCGGGGCGATTTCGTGGAAATACTACCAAGATAATTAAGAGGTTTGGGCGGAGCGCAGTTGAGTCTCCGCAATTAATCCCTTTAAATTTAAAGATCGCCAAAATTTCTTTACCCCTTGGAAACACCTCACGATCGCATGAAATCTGTTTGATTGATGTGAAGGACGTTCAATTATCTTACTATAATTATTTTGTGCATCTCCTTTTCGATTGTTGTATTCATTACAGGCTGATGCAATCCAACAAGTAGGTAATAAAATGCATATAACAAAATAGATAAACGCAGTTTGCTAAACTATTTTATGAAACTTAAATCTATTTTTAATTATAACTTGTAATTCAGCTCTATTGGGAAAAATTTATAATTACAGTGACTTATCTTCTCTGTGCTTGCTTCTTGCCACAATATGACTTTTTCTTACGTAGTACTTCTCACCTCAGACAGGAGAGGTTTTTTCTCTGTTCGTTGTTCTTAGAAAATTCAAAATTCAGTGCCAATCTATCTTCATACTTTCTGGTGACTTTAATATATTTCTCATCTGATGATTTCCAGGCTCTTTCTCTTTTCCTAGTTGTACGACAATGATTGGTAGTAACTGAAATCGATAAAAAATGGTACGTATTTAGCAGTACTGAAAAAAAAATCGAACTTTCAAACGAGCCAATAAGTAAAGTTTTTTAACATGATATCTGCTTAACAAAACCTTAGACGATACAATTGAAAAACGCAATGACCCTATTAAAATTATCATGACTTAGACAAAAAAGGCACATTTCAATAACAGGGTTAAAAATCCTCTCTAGGAAATATCTTTATGTGATAATTATATAATTGGTATGATTTATTGAATTAACGTTAAGATTAGACTTTTGGAATCATTTACAATACAATTTCAAGCTTGGACAACCAACACAAAAACGAAGAATGTATGAAATCAACCGAATTCTAACCAGACTTTTTCTCTATTACTCATTTGTCGCAATGTGGTCACATAGCATTACAACCTTTTTTTTGCATAACTCGACACACAAACACATGACTTTTTTTGCTTACGTCATATGACGTCTACCAGGATGTCCAGTCCTCTGCCGCGCGAACATCAGACTATTATCATAAATTCCTCTGCACTTCTTAACATAGGGTGCGACCAAATATTTTAAACAGCGGCTTCGATGATACTATTCTTCCTAACTATGGACTTATTTTTGCAGGAATTTTTTGCGTTCAGAGAACGTCTCTATCATTGGTTCTTCGTCATTCTGCTGTTAGTGTCTTATTCATCAGCCCAAGAAGGTAAAAGTAATTTTTCACCTTTCGAAGACAGAAGTGTTTGTAAGATTTGGAAGCGGAATCATCAACGTTGACTCAACCTATTCTGTACACAAGGTGTTTGCTCCGGCGGCACATTTATTTTATTTTTTTTCACGTTAAATACTAATGTAATGGGATTGAGTTCTGTTGAGTGTGAGAGAAGCTTATTAAGTTAAATTTGTTGAAATGCGAAGCTTCAGTCGGTTTGCTTAAGCACAATATTTCGATATTGTAATGTAATTTGAATGTTTCGTTTTCCTTTGTACTCTATGGCTTCGACATAAATCGGCCTCCACAAAGTTTAGTCGAATTCGTTGCATTTAATTTCTGACCAAAGGTAAAATTCTGTATACAAGGTGTTTGCTCTGGCGGCACATTTATTTTATTTTTTTTCACGTTAAATACTAATGTAATGGGATTGAGTTCTTTTGAGTGTGAGAGAAGCTTATTAAGTTAAATTTGTTGAAATGCGAAGCTTCAGTCGGTTTGCTTAAGAACAATATTTCGATATTGTAATGTAGTTTGAATGTTTCGTTTTCCTTTGTACTCCATGGCTTCGACATAAATCGGCCTCCGCAAAATTTAGTCGAATTCGTTGCATTTAATTTCTGACCAAAGGTAAACTTCGTTTGTGTAACGGAGATACAAAAAGAATTACGCAAGCTTTCAAACATACAAGCTTAATTTACGCACAGGTGCTAGTTAAACACTACTTATAAGTAATAATAATAATTTCCAAATATATATCTTTAAACTATTTATATACTTCCTATTGATTTGGGTTATGCATGTTTTACGAGGTGAATTTTCCGCGATGGTACGTGACTGGTGTCTGTATTTTGAAAATATCAGTTTACATCGAGCGTTAGTGTTTTAAAACAATGACATCTAGCGGCTGGTTTGTTTAAAAACGACTTCGGAACACGCAACGCAAATTGGAACTGTTTCTTATTCACAGTTCCACTGTCAGGTTGAGCAAGTCATCACCTCTAGTCATTCTGTCTTTCTTCCCAAAGCGCTAACTATAGATTGTATAGTAGCACCGCATACATTTTAACTGAAAGATTGAGGAACGATCACTCGGTTAACTGATAGCCTGAGTGTCTGTTGCTGTCATTTACTTGGCAATACACATCATTAGTCGATAGGTAATGGCTATCAAAACATGATCAGTAGTCGGTACAAATCATAAATTTTAAGTTTTTTCACCTCACCAATTATGTTCAGTGGATATGTTTCGACATCTTTTTTCTCCTTGTACCAGATGTTAAACACCAAGTAATATAGAACTGAAGCTTTCTCTTCAGGTCCCCCACCCACTTGTCACCAATTGGCCACCTTTGCTTTTCTCACTCGCCATGGTATCTAAAACAGGCACATCACATAATAGCACTGTTATTGTCAAATTTGGACTCTGAATGAGAAGGGATGGTTTCCAGAAATGGCTTGGGGCTCTAAATAAGACTTGTGCCCCTCTCCATCCAGATGACTGGACTTCCAAGGGAAAGAGTCTCTAGTCAAATAATTAAGGAGGATAAACCTTCGTTAGTGCGGCGTTTCTTTACTGTAGGACATTTTAAAACTCTTCATGTATCTGTTCTACGTCTTTTGGTGAAGAAAGGTGAACTTTCAACCGAAATTGTACGAATCTGGCACATGTATGTTTCAATATTTACTGATGTGGTATTTTCTTTCCCTGTGGTACCTGAAGCCCCAGCGGATGTCAAATTGGTCACAAAAGGCTCAAAGACGGTAGATATATCCTGGATGGCTGGTTTTAAAAGAAACAGTACCATTCAGAACTACACAGTGGAGATAGGAATAGATAAGGAGAACTTTAGCGATGTTGGTTGTCAAGGAACGCTCTCAAATGGTTCCTGTGTACTGTCCAACTCCTCCACAAGTGCTTCTCTCACAGGGCTTTTTCCTTTTACAAAGTACTTTATCAGAGTGTTTGCAACAAATGCAGTTGGCAGCAGCAAAAGCAGTTCTGTTGTGAATGTTACTACAGATGAAGAAGGTACTTTCAGGTTCATTGTTTCCCTATTGGTAATGACACAGACTAAATAATGAAAAGCTCAAACTGTCAGTAAAGGGGGTGTATCTCGATCGTTGTTTTAGGGGACTTATTTTTATTCTTTTGGCTGGAAATTAAATTTTGTCCAAAAGTAATCACTTCCACGCGATATTTTGTGAATGTTACTGGAAATGAACATCACCCACTGGAATATTGCTTTAAACACTCTTGCCTCTCCTTCTCAGTCACTTTGTTCTGATATACCTGTGATAAACCTTTGATATACCTTTAAACGGCCGTGTAGCTAGGTAACATTTTTCAACATCGAAGATTGCATGACAACATTGCATTATGGTGTTGCCTTTAGAACCCAGTAGCTCGCCACAAAGTGTTCAAGCTAGCTCCAAAAATTCCACAAGTGTCTCTGTAAGCTGGGCAGCGGTCGGTAAGGACCATCGTAATGGAATCATCAAAGGATACAAAGTAATTTATCAAGCGTTACCGGATGGGAAAAACGCTATAAGGTTCATCAACATCAGCAATAAGCATCAAGAAAAAGAGCAAGACATAACTTTGGGCGATCTCGTCAAGTTTACCAAATACAGCGTCAGGGTGTTAGCATTCACTGTTGTCGGAGAAGGACCACTGAGTAAAGTCAAAATTGTTCAAACACAACAGGACAGTAAGTTACACTCCAGTAGACACTTTAGGCTTTCCCATAAAATGACATTTCCAGTAAACAGTCTAAATTTCACGAAATATTCCTGCCCCAATAAAAAAAATTCACTTGAGCCAATACTATTGTTAATAAATTTTCCAAGCACTTCGCACATGCTTTGACGTTTTCTACCAATCAAATTCGCCTTAATCGACTTCACCCAATCACGTGTCATTTCCTTATATACATCTGTATTTTATCACGTATTCCACACGCAGGGGGCAAAGTCCAGATAAAAGACAGCTCCCCCACCTCCCCCAACGTTGTAATGCCCACGTCAAAGCCTTTGAGAGATGATTATTTCTTCTTCGTTCAATGTATTCCCACCTATTCGAAAAACGTAGAACGCGATATAACTTTGGCTAAGGTCTCCTGGAGATAAAATAGAGTTTGCTTTCCGCATCAAAAAAACGCTCCTACCGAAGCCCCAATTATGAGGGCCTACTCGCAAGAGAGCGAAGTCTTATTTGCAACCGATGCTTGATCTCGTCACGCTACGCGGGAAAAAGCGCGTCGCGTGACGAGACCAAACAAGGGCTGCGAAAGAGACTACAGAAAGCGTGACACCAAATCTAGTTCATTTCTGCTTAAAATTGTACAGACATCAGTAACAACAGACAACAGAATACTTGTGTCTGAGTTTATTTCATTTAAATTGGAAGGGTCTTTTTTTCTCTCTATCGAAGGTGTTTTGGAAACTTTAATTTCTTTTACAAAAATGAAAAAAATCAGTTATTCAAATTTCGCCATTTTAACTTATCCATCCCAAGAAAAAAAACTTTTCCATGCGTGGCATGCCTTTGTTTATATAAAGACAGGGAAATGTTTGCACGTGATTAAAACTTGTATTTGAACGAATATATTAAATTATATCAAAGGAATGTTATAGAGTGGTAATCGATCCTGGTGTCGTGCAATTTCTTTCCGAAACCATCCGTTTGATTTCAAATCGAACTCACGCTGCGCACAAGTTCAATTTTGAAATCACGCATATGACTCAGACCGAATTGCATTCCATTCGCTTACCATTACCATCAGGGGTACATTCTTTATTTCTTTTAAAAATTACACCTGAAATAATTTAATTTCGCTCCTTAAACTTTCCTTTCAGAACCTTCTGCTGCTCCTTTAAATGTGAGAGGACATAACACCAGCTCAACCAGCATCTTAGTAGTGTATGGTGATGTTCCAGCTTTTGATCAGAATGGTATCATCACAAATTACACCATTACTTACCGTTCACTAACAGAGGGTCACAATGGGAGTGCTATAGCTGGCCCCAATGACCGTCAAAAGGAATTAACAAATCTTAGAGAGTACGTCGATTACAACATCACAGTACTTGCGTCGACTTCGAAAGGAGATGGACCACAAAGTAGCCCTATTCTTGTCAGTACAGACGAGGATAGTAAGTACTGTTCTTTTCCAAATCGCTTGTCTATGATAAACGTTTAGCCTTATGTAAGGTAATCCGGATTCCGGAATCCAGGAAATTTTTGCATGTGGAATCCGGATTCCGGAATCCAGGAAATTTTTGCATGTGGAATCCGGAATACTAGGCATTGGAATCCAGAATCCAGCTTTTGGAATCCAGAATCTCGCTAAAGAATGAATCCAGAATCCATTCGCTGAAAATCTATTTCAAATTGCATAAATGGCTTTCACGCGCACGCATCCATGCAGACCACGCAAACCGTGCAAACCATGCAGACCGCGCTTTGTTCGCCGGAGAATTTCGCGATTTTGTTTTGCCTCGTAAAATTTCGTCATGTGGTGTCCAAAACTTGGAAACAGTTCATACGTTACCCAAAGAAGAAAAAGGTGTACACACCTGAATCATGTGCAAATCACAGTTAAAAAAAAAAACAACAAAAAGGTGCACAGCCTGCTCGGTCTGCAACCGCTGTACAGTGCAGTTCATTCACTTTGTCGATGGGTATGTAAATTTAGAGGGACTAAAGAGATTGTCTACATAACAACAGCGTCCAAATCCCACAGGATTTACTTGGATTCCAACATAGCGACGGTTCACACATTAAAAACCTTTAGAATCGTTGCTCTGGAGAATGTGACTTGACTTGGCTGGCCTTATAAAGAAAGGAAAAAGGAAGTATAGAAAAGAGAATCTGTTATTCTTGAAAAATTACCGTGTAAATGCAGATCTTTCGCGATTTTGCAAAGATTTTAGTAAAGTTGAGTTGGTTGAACACCTTTTTATGCGCAAACTCATAATGACGAACATCATCGCCAATTACATATAGGAAAACAAGCTTTTCTTAGTCATAGTCTGCTATTTATTTACGACATACACAGGGTGTTATTAAAATTATATCTCAGTTTAAATTTCTCGTCAATACTCTGGTTTTTGATTAAAAGGAAAGTTAAAAAAGTAATATAGCTGATAGGGAAATATTTTCGAGCTGTTTTGTTGACAGTTCTCCATGAAGTCAATTTTTAATTATAAAAATTGGCCACCTTTTTCTAGCCGGAACCATGTTATTCTGTGCTAAAACAATTAATTTATAAATTAAAAACGATAAGCAATGATTTGATCTATTAGTTCTTTTGATACCTCTAAATCACTTGAAGAACTTCGAGGAACCTGAATGAAAGAAATATGGTGGACCTCTTCAGAGTTGCTAAAAAGAATCAATAAACATTGGACTTAAGAGACGAACAGTCTCAATAGATATTCCTAGAAGAAAAATTTATCCCTTAATTTGCTGTAATATATTTATTTTAATTATCAAATATTGTTATGGAAATATGAATAGACAAACATGCATTCTCATAACATGTCCTTCAATAACGATATCCACCATTGAAGTCATTCTTAGAAAACGAAATGCAAAAAATTAGAAGCAAACGAGAAACTAAAATCTGGAATCTTTTGTGTTTTGGAATCCGGAATCTGCACAGGTAGAATCCGTAATCCAGCACCTGGAATCCGGAATCCACAGCATGGAATCCAGAATCTAATACTGTCCTGGATTACCTTACATGGGGCGAAATGTTTTATACCCAACATCAGTATGCATATTATCCTTACTGTTCCTCATACGTATACAAAAGTGCTGACAAGGAGAAGTTGTTGCAAAATCAAGAGCCTCTCTGGCTGGAGATCGTTTTCTTTATTCTTGTGACTTCATTGTTTGATTCAGGGGTGAAACTGTAATGAAAAATCAGATGCTAGTCACTCGTATGGGTTAAAGAGTTTAGGCTGATCATCACGTTCACCCTTCGGTTGTTTGCTTTTAAAAATGAAAATAATTTAAAGTGTGGTCTATAAAACTGCACCCTAAAGGAAATTCTAAGCGTGACTGATGACCCAGAGAAATTCTGGGTCTTTTGGTGGCCCTTTACCTAAGTCTAAATTAACAAAATGAAAATCCTGTCAAGTTCACGCTCAAAAAAAAAAAAAAAAAAAAAAAGAAATTCTCATTAAAAATGTTTCTCCCTCTCTCTCTCTTAAATAAACCATCTCGCTTTCAAATGGTCAAACTACAGTAATAAAATGAATAACAAAGAAGCCATTGCGTGGAGAAAAATGGACAAATATTATTTCCTACAGTTGTTGAATAATGGCAGGGAGAGGTTTGCACTTATTAAAAACTTATAAAGTGGTAATTGATCTTGGTATTCAATTTCGTTCCGAAATCATCGTTTTGAGAACGTTCAATTTTTGAATCACAGGTATCATTGAGTCCAAGTTGCATTCGGCTTACTTCAGTTACCAATATTAATTGATCAATTAACAGTCAGGAGTGCACTCTTCTCCGAGTCCTGTAATGGTTTTACTACAAGTCATTTGTTTTAAAAATTACCACGGAATTTATTTGAGGCCCGTTTCCTGAACTTTCCTTTCAGAACCTTCTACTGCTCCTTTAAATGTGAGAGGACATAACACCAGCTCAACCAGCATCTTAGTAGTGTATGGTGATGTTCCAGCTTTTGATCAGAATGGCATCATCACGAGTTACACCATTACTTACCAGTCACTAACAGAGGGTAACAATGGGAGTGCTATAGCTGGCCCCAATGACCGTCAAAAGGAATTAACAAATCTTAGAGAGTACGTCGATTACGAAATCACAGTACTTGCGTCGACTTCGAAAGGAGATGGACCACAAAGTAGCCCTATTTTTGTTAGTACAGACGAGGATAGTAAGTACTGTTATTTTCCAAATCTCTAGTCTGTGATAAATGGTTTACATCCAACATCAGTATGCATATTCTCCATACTGTTCCCTTTACATATGCAAAGGTGCTGACAAGGAGAACTTGTTGACCAATCAACAGCCTCTTTAACTGGAGATCGTTTTCTTTATTGTTGTGACTTTATTGTTTGATTCAGGGGTGAAATTGTAAGGAAAATTAGATGATAGTCACTCTTAGGGGTTAAATGTCTAGACTGATGTTTACGTTGCTTTTAAAGATGAAACTAATTTAAAGTGTGCTCTACAAAACTGCATCTCAAAGGAAAATCTAACCGTCACTGATGACCCGGAGAAATTCTGCGTCTTTTGGAAACTCTTTACCTCAGTCTAAGGTAGCAAAATATAAATTCTTTTAAGTTCACACTCAAAATAAAGGAAAGATTCAATTCTCATTGAATTTTTTCCCTCTTTTCCTCTCTCCCTTAAATAAACCATCTCGCTCTCAAATGGTGAAATGATTAAACTGCAGTAAAATGAATTACAAAGATTCCATTGCGTGGAAAAAAACAAAGACAAATGTTATTTCCTACGGTTGTTGAATAATGCCAGGGAGAGGTTTGCACTTATAAAAAACTTGTGTTTGAGTGGTTGATTTTATGATCTCAAAAGGGATTTAATAAAGTGGTAATTGATCTTGGTGTTCAATTTAGTCCAGAAATCATTCTTAAAATTTCAATGCGGACTGGTATTTTGAGTCCATTCAATTTTGAAATCACGCGTATGTTTGAGACCAAATTGCATTCAGCTTATTTCAAAACTTTCCTTTTAGAACCTACTGCTGCTCCTTTAGATGTGAGAGGACATAACACCAGCTCAACCAGCATCTTAGTAGAGTGGGATGATGTTCCAGCTTTTGATCAAAATGGTATCATCACAAATTACACCATTACGTACCGGTCACTAACAGAGGGTCACAATGGGAGTGCTATAGCTGGCCCCAGTGACCTTCAAAAGGAATTAACAGATCTTAAAGAGTACGTCGATTACGACATCACAGTATTTGCGTCGACTTCGAAAGGAGATGGACCACAAAGTAGCCCTATTAGTGTTAGTACAGACGAGGATAGTAAGTACTGCTCTTTTCCAAATCTCTTGTCTGTGATAAATGGTTTACATCCAAAATCAGTATGCATATTCTCGATACTGTTCCCTTTACATATGCAAAGGTGCTGACAAGGAGAACTTGTCGATCGTTTCCTCTATTCTTTTGACTTAATTGTTTGATTCAGGGGTGAAACTGTAAGGAGAAATTAGATGCTAGTCACTCTTAGAGGTTTAAGGGTTTAGACTAATGTTTACGTTCACCCTCCAGCTGATTGCTTTTAAAGATGAAAATAATTCGAAGTGTGCTTTAAAAAATTGCACCTCAAAGGAAATTTAACTGTCACTGATGGCTTGGGAAAATTCCATGTCTTTTGAAAGCTCTTTATCTCAGTCTAAATTAAAAAAATGAAAGTCCTGTTACGTTCACATTAAAAAAAATGATTCTCATCTAATTTTTTTTACCTCCCCCTCTTCCTTAAATAAACCATCTCGCTTTCAAATGGTGAAATGGTCAAACTGCAATAAAATTAATCACAAAGCCATTGTGTGGAGAAAAATACGGACAAGTATTATTTCCTACAGTCGTTGAATGATGGTAGGGAGAGGTTTGGACTTATTATAAACTAATAAAGCGGTAATGCATCTTGGTGTTCAATTTTATTCCGAAATCATCGTTTTCAGTACGTTCAATTTTGAAATCACGGGTACGATTGACACCAAATTGCATTCAGCTCACTTCAGTTACCATTATTAATTGACCAATTAACAGTCAGGAGTACACTCTTATCCGAGTCCTGTAATGATTTTATCACAAGTCATTTGTTTAAAAAATTACCTCTGAAATAATTTAAGGCCTGTTTCTTGAACTTTCCTTTTAGAACCTGCTGCTGCTCCTTTAGATGTGAGAGGACATAACACCAGCTCAACCAGCATCTTAGTAGAGTGGGATGATGTTCCAGCTTTTGATCAAAATGGTATCATCACGAATTACACCATTACTTACCGGTCACTAACAGAGGGTCACAATGGGAGTGCTATAGCTGGCCCCTATGATCGTCCAAAGGAATTAACAGGTCTTAGAGAGTACGTCGATTACGACATCACAGTGCTCGCGTCGACTTCGAAAGGAGGTGGACCACAAAGTAGCCCTATCCTTGTTAGTACAGACCAAGATGGTAAGTACTGTTCCTGGACAACCTCTCCTGTCCACGTTTAAGACTGCTGTTAGTGTTTACCCTCCAGTTATAGCTGGAAGGTATTGTAATTTAATTTCTTAGCTGTCTCTCTCGGGCTAAGACCCACCTTTGACTAGGACGAACGTTATTTTTTTTAGCATCCACAAATTTTTTTTCAGATTTCGTCAGTTCTAATCCGTGTCAATCCTCGCCATCTGTTATTATCTTTGTTTTTCTCTCCGGTTTTTTCTTATCCTCTGATGTTTTTTAAAGTAAAATATCTCTTTCAAAGCATCCGAGAATTTGCTTTACGAATTTAACTCCAAGACTCAGCAAATGGCCTTTCATTATCTTACCGTGACACCGCCAACATGGTGAAGATATGAAATAATGATTTTCATGCCACCGATTTACAGAACCCAGTGCTGCCCCTCTTAACTTACGTTCAATTAATGCGACTTCAACAAGCATTCTTGTCATGTGGGATGAAGTTTTGCCTGATGAACAGAATGGTATCATTATTCGTTACAACGTCAGCTATCAGGCGATACCAGAAGCTGGATCTGCTGGGCCTATTTATACGATTATAGTAAAGGCTCCCACAAGGCAGGTCTACCTGACCGTCCTAACAAAGGACATGTATTACAACATCAATGTGTTGGCCTCCACAATCAAGGGCGACGGGATTTACAGCAGCCCAAAGACGTTCAGAACAAAAGAAGACAGTAAGTCCGTATTTTTCAATTACGTAACCTTTGAAAATTAACTCACGCGATATTGATTTCTCTAACCAATTGTAAGATGCGACAACATCATAAGGATCGGGTTGGGTCCGCTTCCGAGTAGAACGGTTTTCGTATGGATACATTAAGATACTGGTTAAATCCAGCGGGAGATGTACAATTGAGGCGTACTATTTCACGCATTTCACTTGATTAAAATCAATTGTTGAATATGACACAAGTCAATATGATAGCAAGTGGGATTTACCTCCGAGTAGTCACAGAGACAAAATTCGAGTCAAAGAGTTTAATTTTTGACCATTATACCGTATATTGACAGAAATAACCTAAAAGTTTTGTTCGTATGTCGGAGATAGTGTTGAACATCTATCGCTACTTCCATATTTCTCTGTCTTTACATAGGGCCCAGTGCACCTCCTCAGAATGTAATAGGTTATAACACCAGCTCGACCAGCATTAGAGTTACATGGAATGAGGTGCCGGAAGACAAAAAACACGGTGATATCGAATACTATACTATATTGTACAAAAAGATGACAGATATCAGTTATGAGTCAGTACCAATTACACCAATGTCTAGAAGGTTTATTGAGCTAAAGGGACTTAATATGTACACATTTTACGACATCAAGGTCTCAGCTGCTACACATGTAGGGAGTGGACCAGCAAGTGATCCTATCAAGGTCCGTACAGACCAGGATGGTAAGTAAAAGAAGACTTTCGATAAATACCTCAGCGGCTAAAACTCTGGAAAAAAAGAGCAGAAGATTCTGATTTATGACATAATTTTATGTGCGGATTTGGCTTTGGTATAGTTACCATACAAATTGTCATTTGGGGACAGGAAATACGGTTAAGTGTGTTTACTTGCTTTTCTGCAATAACCGTTGGTGGAAGTGTCTGGTAGAAGTATGCCAAAAGAGCTCCATGCTCTAAACATTGTGAGGTGTCATGACCTCAAATGACAATCATGGTTTAGTTATCATTTGTGAGGTGTTTCACAGTCGGTACGAAGTCTGAAGGATATGTGGAATTTGACTTTTGCTTCGTGGTTTAAAAGGAGACACAGGGGTGTTAAAAGATTTTTCGTTATTCAAACCCAGCTGAGATTATTAAAATAGATTTTGAGGAGGGGCAGTAAATTCCTCAACTTCCTCCTTCTATGATCAGTATGAAAAGTCATCCCCAATTTTCAGTGATGCTAAACAGTAACGAAGTGCAGCAACTATGCGAAGATCGATCTGCTTTCCAAGTTCTGCTTTCGCTATGTAGCCAGTGTTAATAAAAGTCCCCCTTTCTCCTGTTAAGGAATCAATTTATCTCTCATTAGCCTTAAAGCTTTTCCAGTTGTAACTCATAACAGATGCGAGAAAAAAAAATGATAATAAGTAAATGTCCTGTCTTTTTTTTACAGTGCCTTCTACGGCTCCTACATTAGTGTCTGTACAAACACTGAACAGCACTAGCATACAAGTTAAATGGTTGGCAGTTCCTGAAGAATCCACACACGGAATTCCAACCAGATACACCATTTATTACGCATACTCCGATGGGAAGGTGGATACTAAGGTTGTAACACCTGTTAAGGATCCCATCACTTATCAAGAAGTTGTGTTTGGTCTTAAGGAATCTACTGTGTATTCATTCCAAGTTTCGCTTTCAACTGCAAAAGGGGAAGGTCCCCTAAGTGTGTCCAAATCCTCTGCAACTGAAGGTGTATGTAAGTGGCCCAAATCATTCTTTCATAGCATTTGTATGTATTATCAGCAACAACGCATATTGACTCGTCTCGTTTGAAATTTAACTTAATGGAAGACTTTTATATATGTCTACGCTGGTGCTACTTTTCGCACGATTCTTAAGCTATCAAAATAAATTATAGAGTGTACTTTTACACCTATAAAAGTGCTCACTCTAATACCTTCTTAAGTGCCACTTCAAGACCATTTGAAGTCCACCCTTCCCAAGATTCCGAAGAGTGCGCACTTCAAGACTCATTTGAGTGAAATGCTCTCAGACGAGTTTGGATGAAAAACTTTCTAAAATGCGCACCATATGACGACTTATAGCGTGCATTATAGAAAAAAAATTATAGTGCGTACTTTAAAGACATTTTAGAGTGCAAACTTCGAGACTCTTAAAAGACTCCTCATATCACAAAGTGAAGGTTTCTTTTAAGTATAATGAACCTTAAATCAGGTTCGAGGACGTTCAGGTTCCTTAAAGAGCGCACTTAAAGACGCTTTCAAGTGCGCTCTGTTAGGCTTTAGAACGTACACACCTCAATGCTATTTGAGATGCTCACCCTAAGACAATTAAAAGAGCGTATTTTAAGGCTGCTTAAAGTGCGCACTTTAGACATATGATGATTCTCGCTTTAAGATTCCAAGTTAGTTTGAAGATGAGGACACCTCAAGGTGCGTATTCAAGGACTCTTTAATTTCAGCTAGACCCGTTTTTAATTAATCAGGATCAAGAACGTTTGCCGGTTGTTATTGTTTATAATCTTGCTTTGCAATGTTCTAATGTCTTCTGATTTTTTAACACCACACTGTGTGTATCACTTGGTTTTGACTAATTTTCTGTTGACTTTAGGTAGCCACACTTTCCAGAAATAATATAAAGTGTTGGGTGATGTATTTCAGTGCTGCAGAAAATTTCTCTAGGCGGATTATACCTCAGAAACCATACCACGATGTACTTTTTATTTCCTTGAGTGAATAGTAATGAAATTATGACACTGAACATGATTTAAGAATGTGAAAAGAAACATAACTGTCTGGAAGTTGTCTTCAAATGAGCTGATTAGTTTACAGTACTTAGTGATCCGCCAGTTGGCTACAGCAGAAAAAGAAGGACATGTACACTTGAAGAGAAGAACCGGAAAGGTTTAGTGAGTAATTTTCAAGTCACGGCTCCTGAACCTCTGGATTTCGGGGAAATCTGAGTAAACGCCACTGTAAGTACGTGACATTGCTTTGTTAATGAATTTATTCACCTATTTGAGTTATTGTCTTTGGTTGATTACCGGACACCCAGACTTCCTATTGAGATTGTCCCTTCCACTTCTGTCCTGTTTTTTCAAACACATGACCTTTCTCGCAACAGCTGTAAATGACATGGTCGTAAATGGTCATAAGTGGTTGTAAATAAACCTTATGCACTTAAAGTTGTTTACTTTATTTGCCTTCAGGGATGAGAGATTCTAAAGGAGCAGTTATGACCGGACAGGTTATCAGTTCAGTTTGCGAACCAACTGGGCTTTGATGGAACTTAATAAATTAAATAACATGATTTGTGCGATCGATGTTACAAATGAAACAGAAATGAATTCACATAATAGCACATGTCAACAATAAGTCTCTTTTACAGTAACTTCAATATTTCAGTCTGACTTCATTCTTATCCGAACAAGCCAGCCTGCATAGTTAGAGGTAAACTTTTCCAGGGCCAGCAATCAAATCTGTGAATTTTTCTAATCACACGGTGTGGTACGGGTATGGTGCTCCTAAGTGTCTTTATTAAGCTTTTTCTTCTTTTTTTTTTTCTTTTTTTTTTAAGGGAATTCGAAGTTTTGGATTAAATCCCTCAGGAAGAGGTTTAGAGGTAAGTTATCGTTAAAAGTCTTGAGACAAGATAAGGGTGGTGAACAGAAATGAATTAGTGCCTTACCTGTATTTATGCTTCAGTGACTTTTGTGGGCTACCTGGGTAGTCTTACTTTGAGGGTCTCAATGGGGTGATGGCTTTTACGGCTATCGGTTACAATTTTGGCCAATTTCCGGCTAACGGTTAACACCTTTCCATTGTTTCCACCAGAGATATTTTTACGTTTAACTTTTTTACGACTAACGGTTAAAAGTTGTCAATTTTACGTCAGACGGCTAAATATTTGGCCGTTTTACGGCTAACGGTTAACCCCATTGGGACCCTCTACTTTCAAAGACAACCCTTTTTCTTTGGGAGTGGTCCGTACACCTCACGCCTCCCTCCCCCTCCGCCCTCGAATTTTGAACGGGGGGGCATCTGAGAGGGCTAAATGAGTAAAAAATAAAAGGATAACAAAACAAAATTCACAAAGCGCGAAACACACAAACCACTAAATATAAAATACAGAACGCAAAACACAAAACACAAAACACAAAACACAAAACACGAAACACAAACCAAAGAAAAAAACAACTGAGAGAGTTAAACGAGATTCACTCTGAACTTTTGAATTTATCTTATTAGAATCGATCAAGGAATCCGCAAATAAAACACTACCTTGAGTGTGTACCACGGAAAAAACTTTGACACTTAAAAAAAGGCGTTTACAATAAAGGATGAGAATCTATGGTTCCCTGGGTACGTGCAGACATGATGACCGCCATAAGCACGCAGTGAATGATGGAGGGTACCCCACGACAAGCGAAAAGATTCACAATTTTCAATTTACGAATTCTACAGTAGTTATCAGTTACTCGGAATGGGAAGTGATATCTAAGTTTGTGTAGGCTCTTTGTTTATTTGTTGCTAGACTGGAAATTGGATTTTATTCTTATTACGCTCGCTTGTTTAGGTGAATCTTGAAATTTTTGCTGGTCTGTAAGCTTATGATATCGGAATTATATGTTTAATTCTCGTTATATATATATATATATATATATATATATTTCATAAACCAATTACTGCATAGACAGTGCTTAGTGAGGATTTTATTCACTCTTCGCAACTCGTCAATTAAAACCCGTAAAAAGCACTTTCCATGAAGTAATCTATATTTTTTTGTTCAGTCCTACTGTGTTGTCAGTGAATTTTAGTGCTATGGGAAAACCCTCAAATATCAGCCGTCTTGTTCATTGAAGATCAAGAACGTTCATGAAACGTTTTCTCCAATTTTCACAACAACTTTCGCTTGTAGTTAAGCTCATACCAGAAACAAGAGGTGCGATTCTTTAATCGCTTCGAGGCTTTCCATAGAAAAGCGTTTCTTTCGCACGCGTTTAACACCAATAGTAAGATCAAGAAATATTTATTGTGCGTTGACGAGTCACTGCTATACGAATAACTTTTATAATTTTTGAATTTGCGAGCCTTTAGCTCGATGCACTCATCGAGGGTCAAGTCTACCCTTGGGTACGCTGATATGAGATTGATTTTACCAGTGCAAATTTACACTACCCGCTCTCCCAATGCAGCGAAATTGTCACTCCGATAATTTTCTCGATCAGTTACGAGCTTCTCCGCCTCCCTTCGGCCAAAGTCCCTCAGGGCTACCGATTACAGAAGGTCTTTTATTTGACGCTTAATGGAAAGGCTGAACCGGAACAATGGACAATGATATGAAGACTTGCGAGATCAGTTCCTAGTTTGGTTTTTTGTTTTAGATCTACACAGGTTTCTTGATCAGCTGATCGTAATAAAAAGGAATAGGAAAAAATTGCACTATTCTTGAAAATCTTCTGTAGTGGACACGCAAATCATCTACAAAATTAGAGAAAAACTGTAGCCATGGTATAGACCTCTGAAAGATCATCGCTTCGGTTCGATTCAGTCGGTTCGATTTTATCTCCTTCAGAAAATGTAACAACAGGTTCCATGTTTTGTCAAAATAGCAGGCTGGTGTTAACGAGCAGTCATGCATTTAATGACACTTACAATAGGCCGGTGTATAAAATCTTGGCATTGCTTGAATAGAGACAATTACAATATACTAGAATAGTGAATAGCGTCGAATGCTCGGTAAATATTAATCCCTTGCCACTTCCTCTTACGTAAACAGGTATTTAATACCCTGACCATTGAAAGTAAGAGCATGGAACAAAATTATCTTTTATTGTTAGAATACAGCTAAAGCTTCAATTGTATAGAGATTGGACTGTCATCCGCTGAAATTATTTCTGCTTGACTCCAGCGAATGGTTCAGTTTATGCTGATTATTTTTCTACAAGATAGAAAACTTAACTATTTTCATCCACAGAACACAAGCTAGTCTCAGGAAATCCCGCCAGTAGGAGACATAGTCAAACAATTCCACTTTCACAAAAAGGCTGCAAAATCTGGAGCGAGGTTAACAAGGTTTTTGGCTGATTCCTTTGAAAAATGACTGAACCATGGTTTCTGTGAACTTAAGATTAATCTTTTTTTTTTCCTGACAGAAAGTTGTCACCATATGTTTCAATTAACTCAGCCTAGAAACACGAAAAAATGAAATAAAACGTCAAATAAAACTTTCAATACAATTTGATCGATGAATCCATTCGCAAATTATGCTTTTAAATCTTGTTTTTTTTCCCCTGTGGTTTAAATTTGCTTTACATTAGCGAATCCCAATTTTTTTTTCCTAAGACTGTCGTCGGTCATGATCACAACCTAGTTTAGGCGCTTAGCGGTTATCCACATCATCTATCTATCCTTAGCAACTGGGTTTACATATCTGACTGAGTTAACGGCACTTTAAAGAAAATCGCCGCGTTTTTAACGACTTAATGTTGATTATTTCATCTCTAGTTAGAGCACGAAAGAAATTAATTCTTGCTGAATTTATAACTGTCCTTCATTCTTGAACGGGTGCAGGCACTCAGAAATTACTGTAGGCATCGAATGAGTCTAAATACTCACTGAGAGCAGAGTAAATAAACTCATATTGATCCTGAAAGAGTGAAAATCACTAGGTCAGCAATACATTCACAAGTGTACTTTCAAGTT